TCTAATAAGGGCATCATCATACTGGACTACCCTAATGATCTCCTTTTCATTTATTTGCTGTTTAAAGACTATCTCAAAACAGTCACACTCTGAAATACAGGAGTGAGTAAGGGACTACAATTTCCATGGGTAGGGGGACAGAAATATAGCTCAGGGGCACAGAGCCTGCCTGGCAAGCACAGGGTTCTGAGTTTGATCCTCGGAGCCAAAAATATATAAATAAATAAAAATAAACAAGATTTCTTGTTTATTTAATTATAATTATTGGGATTTGGGGAGCACGGCTCATGCTATAAGAGGATCTACAAATTTTAAGGAGAAGATGACATGTGTACCTGCTTAGAGCATATGGTCAAATTTCAAACCCATGGAGAACAGACAAGTGATCAGTATATACATATTGTCATTACAAATCGTGTAGACACAGGCATGTGTCAGCTTATCAGTGGTTCAACTGTGGATTTCCCCAATGCCAGTCAAGAAGAGCTTCAGCAACTAGTCTTTTTAAAAGACAGGGTTTTGTCCTCCTATATTAAATCCTATATGTGCAACCAAGCTTCACAGGAACGAGACTATTCTCAATGTATTGTATACTTACGTTAATTATATATGTGAGTTTACAGTGATTACTAAAGTTTACTTTGATTCTTTAAAGATAAGATATAAATGTTCCAGTTCAGTCTATAATAAGCAATCTAATCACTATTTTTATATTCATCTCTGTCTTTTATCATCTAAACATATGATCTAAAATATAACCAAGATTTCTACAGATTTTGCTTAAAGTTGGCAAGGGTAAAAATTTCTTGAAGAGTAAAAGGAGCAGAAATTGAACAAAGTAAGGAAACGCTATTGTCCCTTAAAATAAATGTGTAAATGGAGATAGACAAAGGTACAGATGATAGAGGTAGACATAGAGACAAGCAAGATTGGAGACAGAGATGAAGACAGATAACTGGCTTTCGCTGTGCTTGAAACCACAATTCATTACACGAGTCTATTCAACAGAGAGAGAAGACAAATGACACCCACATCCCATTTGTGTGAGTGTTAAAGTGTGTTGATGCTTTGAGGAAAAATGAATACATCTTAAAAATGAAACAGAAATAGACATACACTACAATCCTAGAATCTACATAAAAAGAATGCTAATTATAAAATTTTTGTAACATAAAAACTGGAGTAGAAAACTAGTATAAAAATGATGGTAATTACAACGTTAAACACTGTGTATGCATGGTAGAATGTAATTAAATCCCAATATGCTCACATGGAATAATCACCCAGATATACTGCTCAGTCAAAAAAGGAACATGTGGAGTTCTCAACACCGAATATTTTATAAAACGTTTCATGTATGTAAGTTGAATGTCTAAGGATCTGCCATTAAAAGTGACATACTTTTCTTCCCTCTGATCCTTTGCCCACATGTTTATTATCATATCAAGCCCTCAGAAGACCCAGATACTTTATGTTATCAAGTTTCATCAATACTGTCAAAGACATATGTAGATATGACACACAGGTAAAACAAAGAAAAGCCTAGGACTCCTGGTCTAGCTCCCCAGTTCTGGGCCTCGGGCATAAGTGAAGGGGATGTGTAGGTGTTCATTTTCATAGAAGCAGCTGGCTAGATTACAAAACATTTGTGCTATTGAGAGGTTTATATAGATTATAGAGTATAACATTTTCCTAGAATCCATCACCCATAAATTTAAATATCCCAGTGTTTTTTTACCATAGACAACAGAGCACATTCTGCTAAAAACAACCTGTAGAAAAAGACTCTTGCTAAGAAAAACCTCCATCCTTTCTATTGTTTTGTCTGTGCACTTGTAAGTGAATTATTTCAGGATGTGAGAGAGATATAGGCGCACAGTTGGTTATGTTTGGCTAGAGAATTTTTGTATAGAATCCTAAAGACCGTATTTCTTAATTAGACCTAAAGAGGTGTTGAAATCTAAACCACTTGAGTTTTCTACATATAGTAAAACTAAGAAATGGTTAAAAAAAAACCACTGAAGACAATTTAGGAGTACAATTGTATGAACTACAGTTTTAGTCTGCAAATAGTAGAAAAGAAGCCTGGCTTTCCAAATCAGAAGAAAAAAAAAAAAAACTGGCAGGAAAGATTTGAGGAAACTCAGACAATACATAAAGAAGCTCTGTATCTAAGTTGAAGAAAATTTACAGGAGCTAGGAGAGGAAATACAATATCAAGCCACATATGCGGTTCTATTAAAATGCTGTTTCTTTGCTATGACTGGAATTCAGCCAGTGTTTGACTTTAAGATCTTTTACTGTACAGGAATCTTTGAGTCAATTTCTTTTCACAATACAAAGTCACATCCATGACCCTGCTGCCACGGCGTGCAGAATAAATGTGCCCCATCTTGGTTTTTATTTAAAAATGGGACGTGTGCCTATCGAGATTCATTTACACAGAATTTCCTCAGAACAAGAGTGATTATTCACCCAAAGAATTTAAAATTCTTCTCTGCTCATTACAACAAAAGTCGAACAAGGAGATGTGACCCTGTGAAACTCACCTGCAACATCAAAAAAACCAAAATAGATGAAGACAGTTTCCTAAAATAGGTGGATATCAAGCAATACAACACAATGATTTTTGAGAAACAGCAAATGAAAGAGATGAGGGATAATGTGTCTCAGCTTATTGTCTTGAAGAAGTTTCCAGACTACAGCACAGGCAGAGAGAATCTGATGGAACCCTTCACACTCCTTGAGTTCAGAAGGTAGATTTCAGGGCCCAGGAAGCCACAGGCACTTGAATATCAGGGTCAGAGGATTGAGAAGCAACAACTCCGTGGAACAAAAACTCCAAAGTGGTGAGAGGATTCTCTGGGATTATTTGCTGCCAATTTGTAAGCTAAGTGTGGGAGGAAACTATAGATGTCATAGAAAGAACTACTCCAAAGGAGATAGTAGTGAGCTGTCACAGGAGTCTAACCCTTAAGATTTGAAGGCCAACCAATCAATCATTATTTTAATTGATTTTTGGTTCATAGGTCTTCAAATTAATAGAGATAGTATCCAAGGTGCTTTCTGAGACATAATATATAAATTATTAAATTGGAAACTAGATAACATTACTGAATGAAATTCTTAGTTGATTTGGTGGGCCGAATATGTTTTAAATATGGGAGAAAAAGATGAATCACAACAGAGATTAAAAAAAAATAATCTGAGTTTTGCAGCAGTGACACCCAAGGATGTAGACTTTGCTGTAATGGTACCCTTGAGTAGTTGTTTCCAATGTTGACTCCAACATCACTTGCTATAGACAGTGTGACAATCGCAAATATGATGCCACCCAACAAGTAGTAACAACAAAAACACAACAGTGTTTACCCCTCTTGATAGTGAACTCAGATCACTAGGATGAAAAGAACACAGAGGGATCCAGCTCAGCCATCGAAACAAGTCCAGCGATGTGTCAGTGTTGGAAGCCTCAATAATCCAGCCCAAACCAAAGGGGTTCCAAACAAACTGCCCCCCAGCCCGGGGAATGTGAGAAATTACAAACAATTGCTTAAAGTCACTAAAATTTATCAATGATTTGTTCTGGAGTAAAGAAACAGCGGTGGTATGGGGGAGTGGTAGCTCGAAAGGAAGGAAAGACAGAAGAATAGGTCCCCAAAGGTGTCTACATCCTAATTCCCAAGCCTTGTGAATATATTATTTCGTAGCAAGGGTAGAGAGCTCACTGATGAGGTTAGGATCGCTAATCCGCTAACCTTAAAATACGCAATTTATCCTGGATCATCTAGATGGGCCTAATGAAGCAGAAAGACTGGTTCACTGTAGCAAAGGGAGGCAGAGGTTTGAGTCTGAGAGAGATGAGGACACCTTTCTGCTGCATTTGAAGCTTGAGGATGGGGTAACCACTAGATGACAGAAAGAGGAAGGGTAGGGAACAGCCCCAGAGACACACAGCCCATCCAGTGCCTTGGCCCATCCACAGCCCAGCAGAGATTCATTTTCCAGTGCTGACCTCCATCACTGTAAAATAATAAACTCGTGGTATTTAAGTCATTAAAATTGTTGTGCTATGTTAGACCAGTAATAGAAACTAAAAGAGAGATTAAGTATTAAGTCTTTTACATGCTTTGAGTCTTCCTGGGGGCAATTACAAAGTTAAAGCCAGGGAAATGATCTGTTTGATAAAAGCTAGACCTTTAGGGTGACGACAACAGGGAGATATTATACGGTTCTGGCAAAGGCATTAAGCAAACAAATAATATGCCCTTATGTGAAGGATCAGAGTGCTGACGCGCCCCAGTAATTTGAGTAGTAAAATAAATGATCAGGAGTTAGGGTTCTATTGAACGTGAGGGAGGCATAAGGACAATGGGAAATAGTCAAATCTATTTCTCAATTTCTGTCCTGGATAAATGTCGGTATTGCCACTGAAATAATAAATTCAAGACAAATAAGGCCTTTGCTGTGTCGTGTTTTTTGTGGGGAGTGTGCGTTGAATTTGAGACATGCATATGGAAGCTGGCAGTAGAGTACATCCAAGGCCTGGACATAAGGACTCCTACACACAGGAGTGGAATTAAAAGAGCAATCCCGAAAGCAGTGCATGATCCAAACAGCCCTTGGGGTCACCGGTCACAGGGCATACCATTCCTCCTTTGAAGAGGCATCCCTAACCACAAGGCTGTTCCAGGACTGAATGCTTAAAAGGGTATTCAGCACAGCATCTGGAGTTAGTGAATTCCTCATAAACGGTAGATATTATTCCTATAGGGTTTAGAAACAGCAGAGAACCCAGAGAACCGTAAGTCAAAGCAGTCCTAAAGCTAAGTCCACAGTCTCAGTCCAATCCGCTGATTAAGACAGCAACCGTGCTTAAATCACAGGCGCAAAGAGGGCGCAGCCTTCACAGATGGGCTGACAGGCGGAGAAAAATAAAGAGGGGAAAGGCGAATAAAGTGGGGGGCGGGAAGGAGGAGAGCGCCCCCCTTAGACTCAGAGGGACCGCAGGAGCCCGGAACTGCGGGAGGGAGCTCGTGGCGCGCAGGGCTCCACGGGTCGCTATGGGAACCGGGCGTGGCGTTGGTGGCCCATACCTGCGGGGGCGTGGTGGGGTGGAGAGCCGGCCTCTGACCCGCCTGGTCCCTCTCGGCTCTGGCGGAGGGGATCCCCGCTTCCTGCCCCGCGGAGGTCGCGGAGAGGGCGCCCGCTGAGTGTGCCCGTCCAGCCCGACCCTTCGGGGACCCCCGGGGCGCGGGCCCCACGTTCGGCCTGGAACGCGCGGAGCCTCGGGCGCGGGCAGCGGCCAGTGGGGTCCGGGCCGGGGCGCGGCGGGGCGGACAGGCGGCCGAGGCCGAGGGCGCGGCGGGATGGAGCTGTACCTGGGCGCCTGCGCCAAGGTGGCCCACGGCGCCGCCACCAGGACGGCCGCCCGCGCGCTGGCCACCGAGAGCAGGCAGTGCGGAGACGTGAGTGGCCCGGGTGGCCGGGCTTTTGGGGGCTCGGGGTCACGGGGGCTGAGGGAGCCGGGAGGTTTCCGGGACCCTGAGGAGTCAGAGACGTGGGGGTTCTTTTGGGGGGACCATGGGGAGTCAGCCACTCGGGAGATCGGGGTCACGAGGGTCCAGGGTCAAGGCACCGGAAGTCTCGGGGACCACGAGGGGCCGGAGACACTGGGGGTTCGAGGTCACGGGGTTTTGGGGGATCCTAGGCGATGAGCATAGGGGTTCAGGGTCACGAACAGTTCAGTGTCAAGAGAATTTATGGTCAAGGACCTTGAGGAGTCAGACACAGGTTCGAGGTCACGAGATTTTGAGGGAGCCTGGGGGAGTCAAGGACATGGAGATTCAGGGTCACCAGCTGTTTGGGGTCTAGGAGGTTCAGAGACACCGGAGGCTTCCACAGATCCTAGGAGATGGGGGCATGGAGGTTTGGGGTCACGGGAGTAGGATGCGATCAGCTGGGCGCACCCACAAGGCGTCCCCAGACTTCTGAGTCTTTAGGATTTAAGTGGGAGATCAGGCCTCCTACTAGTGAGAACCGCTGAGAGACTCTGCCTCGGATTCCATCTGACAGGGGGCGCACAAAACCCACTTTGCGGAGGTGGGTGCAGCTCAGCTCCTGGATCTGCCTCTAGGGGTGAAGCTGCCTGTGATCCCAGGAAGCGATCCTCTGTTCTTCACCACGAACCTAAGCGAAAAGGTAAACTCATCGCCAAGGGCCTTACTTAGTCTTCTTTACCCATTGGTGACGACATCCAAACTCTATTGATGGAATTTGACCAAATTCCTGGGAACAGGTGAAAGCCGTTCTGAACCCACCTGTTTAGAAGGTGTAATAGGCGATTTCATTAAGTTTGAATCCCTTCGCCCTGTCTTAATGTATAATCCATGAAAGCGTTTTAACTTTCAAATAATAAAATTCCATATATACCAATGGAATGCGTTTGGGTTTGCTTAGAAATATGTTTGATTGAAAAGAGAAACGCTATCACTGCCAGCTGGCATTTAATTGGGTGTTCAGATTTTAACCAATAGTAACATGGACTGAACTCTATAAAAATTTTATTGTTTTTTGAGCTTAATACTATTTCATACACGAGACTTAAAAAAAAAAGAAAAAAGAGTAGGCTTGGAATGATTTCCTAAGTTAGTTGAACTGGAATGGAAGACAACCCGACCCCATGGTTTGCCCAATCTCTCCTTCCAGGCTTTTGTCTAAAAACAGCCTCAATTTCTTAAGGATCACATCATTCTACCGCATTGGTGCTTTGGACCACTTTGTATCCAGGCCTTCAGTACCCTATTTTCCTCACCCCAACTGACGAATTTGAATTATTCTTCAAGTTTCTTTGTGAGCTCTCACAGCCCATGATGAGCTTATCTTTGCTTGGAACCACATCTTTGGTTTGAATGATCTCATTCAATATTTAATAATGCTGTCTTGCAATGTTTACTTCTCTTAAATCTTTTCATGTCTTAATCTTCAACTCTCCTCCATCCCCAAAACTTTGCAACCCATGACGGAGTAACAGATTCCCAAGGAGCTTTAATATGTTCTTGTTGAGTAGTTATATGGCTTAGTATCTTGAAGAGTTCTACAAGAATGTATTTTGTTCTTGCTTGATTTCTTAGTCAGTTTAGGATCCTATCTTTCCCATAACAAACAACCAGTACCTTGAAAACAGCAAGAATTTATCACTTTTCTGGATGCTAGAAGTCTGAGACACAGTTGCCAGCATGGTTGAGTTCTTGTTAGGGCCTCTGTTAGTCTTCACATGGTAAAAAGAGAGCTATAGAGTTCTCTGATGGTTTTAATAAGAGCCCTGATCCCACTCTGGCAGGCTCCCCATTCATGACTTAATCTCTCCCAGGGATCCACCTCTGAAAGCCATACATAGGAGTTTAAGATTGCCACAAATGAATTTTAGGGGAACATAGTCTATAATACCTAGTAAACATGATTTCTTAAAATACGTAACATTTCTGAAAATATTAAGAGTTTAACTTTTTGAAAGTTAATGAGTTCTACTTGAATAGAGCAAGCTAAATTATATGAAGCATTCTAGTGCTCTAACCTGGAGTAGACTGACTAGATAATAACAGTGTAGTTTTAGTTTTTCCTTTACAAAAGCTAGAAGAAAGCTTTGAATGCTTGCCACAAAAAGAGATGGTATGTAATGAAGATATGCCTATGTTTACCCTGACTTGAATCCTATACAATCTATACATGTAATTATGTACCATTTTTATGTATCATTTAAAAAATAATAAAGCACTCTAAAAAATTTTATCTTATCTATACAAATCAGCTCTCCTGAAATGTGCTTGAAATTTATTCTATGACTAGTGATAAATGATACAAAATAGTGTAGAAACTTAGTTTTGTCTTTTGTGTTTCTCAAATATGCTAATTCTTTACTATATTACCTCTTTTAAAAGTATTTTTTAAAAGTCTTTTAAAAATCTTTTGTGTTCCTTATTACATTAATTCTTCCAAAAATATATTCATTGTATGATAATTAGGTGTGCAACTAGTTCCCTAATGACCTACTTTGCAAGATTATTCTTTTCCTCAATGTGGCCTTTTTGATGAAGTAATATTGTGTTATTATTTGTATGACTTATTCAAAACCAATTATTTACCTTGATGATAGAAGGATTAGCTTAACTCTTAAGAAATAGATTTATTAAAAAATGTCCTAAAAATAAAAATTCCACAGGTTAGCAATCCAGTTTCACCATCGCTTGTTACAGCTAAAATTCAGCATCTAAACCATTTTGTTAGCTAAATGGCACAATTTAAGTTTCCTCTTTGACATATTATGGATAATTTTTCCCCAGAGAGATGTGGGCTTCCTGTTTAGCTTCACTGAAATCAAGCATTTATTCTGTAAAATTCCTTTCTTTGCTTTCTCAGGGATCCATCTGGTGATCAGGCAGTCTAGGTTTCTGATTAGGCCATTTGTAAGGGGTTAAAGGTGGGCACTGAACAAGAGATCTGAGATTTAACATAGATGTTCGAATGTCAAGGGAGCTCCCATTCCCCCTACCTATCCCTTTGCTCCAGTACAGAGTCATGTAACTCCTTTCTAGGAGTTATTTGTATGGCTCCATCCATTCAGCTTCCTGAGCACTGGTAATCGAACACAGTTGTGGCTTTCGGCAAACAGCATGGTATGTGCAGTTGAACCTGGATTGGTCCACAGGGTTGTGTGTTGGTGTGAGTTGTGTTGAACACTGACAAACAGGGAACTTGCCCTCTGGTTTTCCAGAACTTCCCCATATTCTAGGTACTGTTCACTTGGTTCCCGGGATTGTTTTAGACTAAACCTTGTGTCTTTCTGGTCAAAAACTTAAAACAGAAACAACAGGAAGACGACACTGACACTTTTTTTAATTACTAGGATTGAAACAGGGTATTCAAAGTTGGATGCTTACTTTCATTTTTCTCTTTTCCCCCTTCAGAGAACCCTTCTAAATGAAAGCCATCTGTCATTTTACTTTTGAAAAGTTAACTATGAATGCACCCCAAAATTCCCTTTGGTAATGTTTTATTCATAATACAGACTTAATAAATCAGCCTTTTCCTCTAATGTAAAATAAAAAAATAACATGACAATTTGCTGATTGTCTTTTTTTCCCTTTTATTTAATCTGTACACATATACAGAAACTGATTTCTTTATAAATATGCTTTAAAATTGATTATTAAGTGAAGTGAACTGTACAATAGACCTTGAATTTTCTTGTGCCTTTAACACTCAGAAAAATACCAGGTTTCTTTCATTAAAGACTCCAAAAAACAATGCCTCTTGAACCCAAAAATATTTAATGCTTACAGTTTTACTCATATTGTTTGTTCACCTAGTTTCTATTTAATTATAGTGATGTTTTATTCTTTTCATTTTAAATGATCGAAATATTATAACTAACACTATTCTTCTATTTTCTGAGTATGGAACCTCCCTCTGGGAGAGGGAAGAAGAAGAGGCAGAATACAAACGTTCACTTTACACATTCAGTGAATGAAATACAATTCCCTTCTCTTCCTTTCCCCCATCTTTGTAGACTCTGGGCCTGAGGCTGACGTGAATCAAGTGAATAACTGATAATAATCAGTGAATACAGTGAGGCTGAGTCTAGAATAATTCATAAAGATGAGTAAAAGAAGAAATGAAAGGCAGTTACTTGCCCAAAGTAAATCTTCCTGTTTGGAGTTTTCCCCAGTTCAAGTTCTACCCATGTGTGTCATTGTATGCCGGTTTCAGTGGGTTGTGTACCAGTGAAAATGCATTACTTTTACCTTTGTAACGTTGTTGAATCTGTATTTGCAGCTTTTTCGACCTTCCTATGGCTTTAACCTGACAGACCCTTATTGTCGACTTTTGGAAAACCAATATAGAAGTCTCCACGATCCACATCTAAAAGCATATTACAGACGCAAAGATGTCCTGAGGAGACTGAAGAAAGGTGGCTATATCACCAACAATAACAAAGTGGGTTGAAGACGACTTTTCTTTAAGTTCAAACCTTCGAACTTTGGTGTATGTTTGCTTCTATAACTCACTGGAGGGCGTTACTGCCTTCAGCTTGACTGTGGAAGGAGAATTCATGCTCAGTTTCATGACATACTCAGTATTTGGTCAAAGAGAATCTAACCACAGCTGTTTCTAAATGAAATTGCTTCTTTCTTAACTTTTTCTCTGTGAAATTAAAGTATCATTCATTACCATAACTTGATGAGGAACAAATGTATTAGTTGGCCAGCTATAATTTTCTTTGTCTCCTAAAGGGATTTAACACTTGTCATGAATATATTTTAAAAAAAAAAAAATATGAGATGAAGTAGGAGGGTAGAAAAATGTCATCTGTAAGAATCTTGATAACATAATTCTTACTGGAGTTAAACATCATTACATTTACAATTACAAACCAATTGTAATTAGTAGGCATTATTATTCTTTTAATAATAATTATTTTGACAATATTTAATAATGCCAATTAACATTCTTTTTTAAGACATAGGATATATTATTAAATCAATCTTTCTGAACAGAAATTTATTATTAACAAATGTTGGGGCTGGGGATTTAGCTCAGCGGCATAAGCGCCTGCCTTGCAAGCGCGCAGTCCTGAGTTCAATTCCTAGTACCGATTTAAAAAAAAAAAAAAAAAGATTATTAACAAATGTGAAGAGACAGTACCTATTAAATTGCCAGCAATTCATTACTTGATAGCAAAATGTCTTTCAGTTGTACATCATAACTATTTTTTTCTCTGAATAATTGTTGCTATCATTGTTAGGTATGTGTATATTTATTATATTTATATGTTTTATTTTCATTTACAGATTGTATGTAGTTTGAAGGAACTGAATAAGTACAGGCAATACCTCACCAACTTGAAATTAGACTTTGAAAGAAACTATATAAGAGAACAAGTAAGTGTTTAATTTTGATTTATGTAATTTGGAAGAGCAGTTTGTTTCTTTGTAAAATATATAAGATTTTGTCCTGACAAACTTAATACTTTTCTGAATGAAAACTCAGAGCAGGAATAAGTATGGATGCTGTGATACTTGGATGTGTGTGATACTTAACCAAAAAAGGAAAAGAAAAGTCTGTTTATTACACGATTGGTAGCTGACATGATTCAGTAATTACACTTGGTCTTAGCCAAAAGGCTGCGAAGTGATGATTTGGTAATTATGTGGTTTGACAAATGCACTGATCCTACCTGAGCTGTGACCAACAAGAAGTATGTATTGTGACATCAAGGTTCTATACCTGGAACCCAAAACAATTTAAGCAATAAGAGAAGAAGAATACAAAATTCGTACTGTTCTACAAGTGACTCATAGGACTTGTACCCCATATTCTTACACCCACACACATACACTTGCATTTACCTAATAGAAAATGTTCTTCTTAAAAATGAATTTTTTTGGAGTGAAGTGAGTGGCAACACTGATTTCCTTTTGATTTTTGATTCAAAGTTGTATATGGCATGTGTGTGCTTGAGCGTGTGTGTGAAAGGGAGTGAATTCAGGGCTGGGACAAGGGAGTTCAAAATGAAGTGTACTTTTTAAGATCAAAAGGGTAGGGTAAAAATAATAACCTCACTATACATTTACTGTGTGGTTTCTCTTCCTCTCTTTGTACCTAGACATCTTCCTCCACATTTTGATACTTGCATTTAATCATTTTTGAGGAAAAATAAAATGCTTACTTTTTATCAGTGAGGTAAATCTTTATTTTGAGTCTGTTATCCATATCTCTAAAAGATGAACTTAAATGTAGTTAAACAATTCATTCTTGATAAAATATAGGAGTTTTAGTAGGTTTATTCCTGGGAAGTGTACAAAACATTACATATTTATAATGCACATTTTTTACAAATAGAAAATGCTTGCGAAACAACTACAGAAATTGGAGGAAAGCAATGCATTCCCCGAGTGTTCTGACGTTACGCAGTTCCAGAACTGGTTGCTGCATGAGGGCACCCAATCTATTAGGGACCAGGAGCGGTTAATACGGCACAGGTAAGATGCAAGCTGATGTGTTTTTGCATGTGTGTAATGGGCTTGGATAAATTGGGACATCGTGAAAAGGATCAGGGAGGACAGTTTCTCTACAGCCCTTTCACTCTGTGGAATGAAAGAAGGAAACCAAGAAGGACAGGAACTGGGAACTTAGTGCCGAGACTATAATAGAAAGTTTCTACCAGAGAAATCGAGCCCTCTGAGAACCCAGGAAATAATATAAGCAAATAACTGACGGGAAAACTAGATTTAAAATCCTACAAAGAGAAGGAGGAAGGAAAATAACTTTGGCACATGCAACATATCATAGGAACTTTTTGTGATCCATCTTTAAGGACGACAGCATTAAATTTGAAGAAATTAGTGCAAAGCCAAAAAAAAAATTAAAAATAAATGTGTTGCCTCCAAAGAGACCAGAAGTTCACTCCAGTATCAATTAGTTACATCCAGCCATTGATACTGCTTGCCCAGTCCATTTCTTAGGCCAAGTGAGAGGTTGTGATCTATTATCTGACTTGTATTTTATTATTTCATTACATAGAAGTACCTTATGATGTATTGATGTTCCAGAGACATAAACAGTAGATGGGAAATATCTGAAAAGGCATGTAAATTTCAAGGACATTAGTACTCACCTTGTTTTGAGACACTGCAAGGCCACTACAGTCTGTTGTAAAGTCTCTACTTTGATTATATCAGCTTTCCTTGCAAATCAGTACTTCTAAACCTACTGAGTTATGAATACTTGATGTACAAAATGCTTTTTAATATTTAGCTCCATTTTCATCACTGCCTTAGTAATGAATATGCATTGAATAGGAAGACTTTAAAATATATAACACATTGGGAATCAGGCTGGCTAAAAGGTCTATGAGCAGGACTCACAAAAACAAATTCTTGTAGTTCAAAAATAAAAAAGCAAAGCAAAGAGATCATTTGAGAACATGAAAAGGTGGGACACTATAGTGAGAGAAACAGCTGATTCAGCTTCAACAACATTTTCATTCTTGCTCAGGTATTTGGATATGATAAATAAAGGATTAGAACACTCAGAGCGGGCAATGGAAGAGCAGCGCCTTCTCCGCATGGACAGAGAGCACAGAAGACAGCGGGAACACTTGAGAAGAAAGCTAATTCTTCGGAGAAAAATTGAAGAGGTGAGAAGTAACATATTTAAAACATGCGAAGAATTTTTGTTTCTGACTTTTTCCATTTGTAGATAACTGTCAAATTGGAGTAGTTTCATTCTAAATAACTTAGCACATTTGTCTTAGTTACTTTTCTCTCATTGCTGGGGCAAACTACTGGACCCACAGAGTTAAAGTCAAAAAGATTTATTTAGCTCACAGTTTGCAGAGGTTTCAGTCTCTGTTCAGTTGGCTCCAAGGCAATGTGACACATGGAAGAGAGACAGCGGTGCACAACAATATAACAGTAAAAGCCACAGTAGAAATAGAAGGGACAAACCTCATGCTGTCCCGAAGGCTACCTGCCCAAGGGCAGATGTAGCACTCCCTCCCTGAAACCTACATTGGACAAGGACCAATCACAAACTGTAAATTCAACCACCTCTGTGACTACAGGAGGCTTTGGGAGACATCTAGATACAAATCATAACAACATTACACTTTCTTCACACTTACAATATACAAATTGTTATATAGAGTAATGAGACAAACACAAAAAGTATATGTGTGTGTCAATCTCTCTTAAAAAGAGCAGTGTGAGAAAGCTACTTGTGTTTATTTAAGTGCCCTGTAAACCCTCAATTTGGAGAGGAAAATTTTTTTAAATTTAATTTTAATAAAAATAATCATGCTGCCTTCCTAATAGGAGTGCAGTGGAGAAGCCTCTTTTAAAACAACTGTTTGCCTTTCATTAGCCAGACCCGTCAGCCCTTGACTTTCTGAATTTTCTCCTTGGGACAAAACACAAAGGTATCCCTGGTAAGGAACATGCACTCAGGGTGGTAACACTGTGCTCTGCAGGAATGGAAGACCAAAGAGCTGTTACTTCTGACGAAGATTGCAGAAGATATTAAAAGAGAACAGAAGCTCGAACAACAACGGCGGAAAAGCAGAGAAGAAAGGGACAGAAAGGTAGGGTGAGCTTTCACCTCCTCGTGGGTCGATTTGAAGAGAAGCTTCTGCTCATTTTGTTTTTCAAAGTAAAAACCACATTGCATTATGGATTTGCACTAGTTATCTGAAATGGCATGCATTTTACAAAACTGAAACTTACTACTTTTTTACGCACGTACCTCACTGTGTGAACCCAGGCTGATCTTAAAGCACTGTGCTGGAAGTCTCCTGTCCAGTCCTGGGACCACAGGGGCTGCCATGGCTCCCAGCTGCATGAGTGCTGCACGTTTCTATAGGTGACAACCCAGCCTTGTTATGCAATGGGACTCCTTCAGCTCTCGCTTTACACCATATGCTTTGCTGTAATTCACATGAAAAGTAACCGGTTAGATTATTATTTTTTTTTCCTGAGAATCAGAAATTATTGGTAAAAGTTTTTTTTTTTTTTTTCCAACGAAGTAATGTTTTTAAGCCTGTTTTGAAGTTTTAGATATGTACTATTTTTAGAGAGCAAATCAGTCTAACAAAACTTCTGTAATTTGCTCTACAACCTTAACAGTTTAATAAACATGCTCATGAATAATGTTTCTATGAGGATTTATTCCAAGAATTAAATAAATGCTATAGATTGTACAGATTGTTTTGTAGACTGCCTTTTCTTAATAAAATATTGCTAAGAACTTTCCATGACAATAAACTTTGAATTAAAATTCTAAACAATTTAGTTTTTTTCTTGACAAATCTAGGTATAAGAATGTCATAGTCCCATTTGTATTGCAATGTACAATATAAAATGTCTTTAACTATTGGAATTTAAGCATATGTATCTCTCTTTTATTCTATTACATATATCTTTATATTATGACAATCTTATATTTTTCTAGTATTCACTTTTCTCTAATGCAAGAGCTCTCAGAGTTGGCCTCTTTAATTTGCTACCACACATGTCTGAGAGTATTTTTATTTTTCGAGAGCAATGCAGTGCTCTGATTCCACTTCACCTTTTGCCTGATCTCAATTTCTACTTGAGAAGCCCTGTCCAGTTGGAGTGGAGACCATTGCAATAGAGGAGAGCTTGGCCAGCGATGGGTACTCATGAGATGCGGCCACAGATGGCAGACTTGAGGACTGCACAGCATGATAATGGCTCAGCTGTGTCACGAAGTTATTCTGTCATTATCTTTTTTGAATCTTGTTTTCCTATAAAGCTCTTAAATTCATTTATGTTTCTGTCATATTTTACACTTAGCATTATGGGTAGAAATCACTTCAGATTATATGCTTACATTGTAGCGTTATCCAGAGTTTTTAATTTTTTCACCTTACTATGTCAAAAATAATTTGTGAATTGACTTTTGGATTATTTCCTGTCCTTTGATCTGTTATGTGTAATTCTGTCTTGATTATTGTTCTTTAATAGTTTGTCAGACCAGTCATCTTAACCTTACAAAGTTTTGTTTTGTTCTGCTTTTTTGTCTTATTGAGACAGGGTATAATTACGCAGTTCAGGTTGACCTTGAGCACGCTTTGAGACCCAAGCTGGTCTCTAACTTGCAATGATCCTTCTGCCTCAGCCTCCCAAGTGCTGGATTACAGGCTTTTGTAACCATATCTGGTTTAGCCTTACAAGTTTGTTCTACTATTTCAGTTATTTTGGCTAATCTAAGTTTTTCACCTTTTAATATATATATTTTTTAGAATTTATATATCAGTTTTGATTTTCTTTTCCAAAAACCTTGATGAAATTTTCCCTTACCTTGAGCTAACCTTGAGGATCATGTTGGGCACAAATGACACCTTATATTATATTGATATCCTACATAGATTATCTTATCTGTCAATATGAATATGTTTTATTTGATTTTCTTATGATCAACGTTTCTAGCATAATGTTTAATAAAACAATTTGTTATCTTTGTCTTGTCACTGACTTCAAGGAAAGCATTATGCTTATTAATACTATACTAAGGTTAACTGTTAATTTTTAACAGATAAATTCTCCCTATTCTCAGTTTTCTGAGAAATTTAGCAGGAATGAATATATATATATATACTGTGTATATATTAAATTATATTAAATTTGCCAAAATTTTTCAAAGAACATGGTAGTGTGCGATTTTTTTTTTTTTTTTTTTTTTTTTTTTTTTTTTTTTTGCTCTTGTAATGTTGTCTGCTTTTGGAATCAGGATAATGATGTCTTTATGCAAGTTAGTGTACATTCTCTGATCAGATTTCTAGAAGTGTTTAAGTTGACACTTTGTTTTATTTCATAAATTTTATATAGAGTTTATCAATGCAATTACTTAGGTCTAGAATTTTCTTCGTGTGAATTTTTTAAACCTCAATTTCCTTAATACAGATCCATTTAAAATAGTGTTTGGTATTAAAAAAGCTTTAACTGTTTGCATATTTTAGAGGCTTTCCTTTTCATGTAAATTGCATAATATATGCACAGAGCTTCTAATATTCTTCTATTGTCCTTTGAACATATAGTGACTAATGGTGGCATCTTCTCTTATTACCAACATCAATAATTTGTGGCTTGATTTTCTTTATCAGCATTGGGTAAAGTGGCTGTATTTTCTTTATTTTTTTCCTGATTTTCTTAAACTGCCATGATTTAGTTTTTTCTTTATTTTTTCCATCTTCATTGATTTCTATTCACACACATTTTCTTTTTAATAAACATTTTTATCTCTAAATGAGAGTCACTAAGTTGAGACTTTTCTTCTTTTTTATATAGAAATTTAATGTATTTTTTCTACTGATTTATCAAGATCCCACAAATTTTAAGATAATATACTTTTATTAAATTAAAATTAGTTTTAATTTGCCTTTTATTTCCTAGATGAGTTAAAGATCTTTCTGGTGTTGACTTTGAATTTATTTCTCTTATAATCAGGACGTATATTTTATTTTTCTTGTATCTTTTTAAATACATTGAGCTTTTTTATTATTCAAAAATAGCATCATTCTTGGTTAGAAAAAATGCTTAATTTTTAAAAAAATTTGTATTCCATTGCTTTTGATAGTATATTTTATAAATGTGTTCCAGATGTCAAGCTCAGTTTTTCTCAATATTACTTTGCTTTCTGTTTACTTTTTTTCTCTCCTGTTGAGAGGGTTGTTGGAATCTGTGTTTTTTGATCATCTATTTCTCCTAATAGTTCTGTCCATTTTTGCTTTATTTCACTCAAATTTAGTCATTAAGTTCATTAGAATTGTTCTGTGAGTGACTTGTTTTGTCATTGTGATGATATCCTCTCCCTCAAAAGATTCTTAGCACTAATCTTACCTTGTATAAAATTTACAATGCCACGACAGAATTCTTTTCATTTCTATTAGTATACATAAAACATTTTTCTTTAATGTTTAAAACTGTTTGGTCTTTAGTTTCAGCTTCTTTTTTGTGGTTTCATACAGATTTTACTTTTTTATTGTTGTTGGTCAATACTGCAATCCTTGCCTTTTATTGAAATATTTAGGTCATTTACATTTAATATGATTAATAGTTTTTTTTTAAAAAAAGGAATAAATCAGATTAGTGAAATAAAGCAAAAAAAAAAAAAAAGCCAGTAATAAGACCATAGGAAATCCACAATAGTAATTAGCTTTGTATCCATTATCTCAGTATTTGTTTTCTGTCTTTTCCTTATTCTTCTCCTCATTTACTGCCTTTTTCTTTGGATTAGTTAATATCTCTTCTTATTTTGCTGAATTACTAAATTTGTCTCTTTGTTCTGTGAGTTCATGGTTGATTTAGGGATAATAGCATATACTGTGTCTTTAACTTACTAGGGTAGTTCTTACTTAAAGTGCTATTAAACTCCTCTACATAAAATATGTTTTTCATCTCTATTTTTATGCTCTCTTTGTCATGCATTTCACTTTCAAATATAGTATAAGTTCCACCACACATTGACATTTTTATCTAAACATTTATATATTAACATGATTAAAATGACAGATTATATATTTAGCTCCAGTTTACCACTTTTGATGTTCATTTTTTTTGCATGTATTTCCCTCTGGTATCACTCATTGTTTCTGAAGGGCTTTTATTTTATTTTATTTTATTTTATTTTATTTTATGTATTTATTTTGGTACCAGGGATTGAACTCACAACCTTGTGCTTGCCAGGCAGGTGCTTACACCACCAAGCTAAGTCTCCGGCCCTTCTGAAGAGCTTTTGTTTTTGTCTTAGTGCAATTAGCTTTTAAGTATCTAAAAAAGTATTTTGCATTTATGTTTGCAGGATTCTATCTGAGTATATATTGACTAACATAGTTGTTAGTATCAGCTGTATATAGAATTTTCTATCCAAGTAGTTTTCTTTTAAAGTTTTAAATATACATTTTCAGCTCTTTTGTTTATTTTTCCAAAAGAAATCTTCAGGCCTTAACTTTCTTCTCTCTGTAACATACATATTAATCTTTTTCTTTATTGACGATTTTAAGAAATTTTAGTAAAATACACCTTGATGGTGTTTTTCTTCTGTTCTTTGATATTGGGGGCTTCCCAAACCTGTGAATTCATGATTCTCAACAACTTTGGAATATTTTGGCAATTTCTCTTTTATATCTTCTCAACTCTTTCACATATTAGATTACTTGAAGTTGTCTTGTATCTCTCTGAAGGTTTTCATTATTTGCCTTGTAGTTTTGCCACTAAATTCACATCATTCTCCCCGTAGTATCTCCTCTTCCACTGGTGTGTATTTTTCACTAATTATTTCATTTGCTCAAAATTCGCTGTGGTTCTTCTTATATCAACCACACTTTTTATTATATTTGTAAACCTACAGAACAGAATTATACAGACCATACTAATGCTCCCTATCGTATCTGTGTTACTTTTGTGTTGATTTTATTTGCTTCTTTGGAAGGGTCATTTTACCCCACTTCTCCATATGCTGGTATTCTTTGTATGCCAGATATTATAAGTTCTATTTTGTGGGTTGGATATTTTATATTCTTATAAGGATTTTTTATCTTTTGTCAGGGAAGCATGTAATTTATTTGTAAACAGTTTGTTGTATATATTTTTTAAAATATTAAAAAGTGGACCAAAATTATATTTGATCTCGGACTCATTATCGCTTATTGTTGAGGTAAGAGCTTGCTGTAGCTTCTCCCAGTGTGGGTCATGAGAATGGATATGAGTCCTGCCTTTAGGTAGGTGCTAGATACTGTTGTCTGATTCTTCATTTGGGAATCTTGTTTTCTGTAGTTGTCCCTTTTTTGTTGTATTAATGTTCAATACTAGCACAGAGGTTCACAAAGGGAAGTCCCACAGTAGGTTTATCTATGGAGATCTAAGTGATTTTCAGTTAAGCTTTCAGTACCTTTCAGTTACAGATGATTGATAAATTGCTTGATGTTAACAGGACTGCTGCAGAGAGGGACCGAACTGATTAGAAATTTTACTAGTTCCTCAAAAATCCACAGTGGTATAAATTGCATCTTAATGCTAAATTCACTCTTTTTGTCTGCCAGACATGCTGGTACGGCTTATAATCTCAGCACTCAGGAGGCTGAGGCAGCATGGTGAGTTCAAAGCATGCCTGGACTGTGTAGCAGACCTTGTCTGAGAAAAAAAAGAAAGAAAGAAATCCATGATATATAATTTTGTGTTTGACTACAAATGGAAGTTCAGCCCTCACCCCTCTCTCATTTTTGACATTAGTGTGAACTCACAAGTTACAAGACAAGAATGACAGTTGACTTCCAGTAGAGTGTCATGTTTTAAATATTTACCTTGCATTTATAAATGATAAACTGGTATTAACCAATAGTTTTCTTTGATATTTTAGAAACAAGCCCTGCTAGAGAAAAAAATGGCTTATCATTTACAAAAAATGCAAGAAACTGGCTTTAAAGAAGACATGGATAAAGGCACATATGAATACAGTGGACAAGATGGAGATTTGGAAAGTGAGGATGTTAAAAATTATGTAGCTGAGTAGGAAATGCTTCTGTATGTAAAAATTCTTCTGTAGCATTTACTTTGTGTGCTTATCCTGGCTGTGCACTTTGAGTCCAGTCATAATCTCTTCACTTGCATGTTAAAGTTCAAATGGAAGAGGAGGCTCATGTGTAAAAATAACAAGCTAAAGCGATCCTGTCAAGTGACTTAAAAGACAAGTTGCCTACTCTGCAGCTTTTTGTACCCAACCTCCCTGTACTTGAAATAAGGATTTTACTACTGAAACTATAGAACTTGTAAGATCACACTGCTATTATATGTCAACATGCTGTTCTCTCCTATTCGCAATAAGTAAAAATAAAATCCAGAAAAGGAGAGATAAAAGGTTATGGTGAAAAGGAAAAAGAAGGAATAAAGAAAAAAATGTCCAAAAATATGAAGACAGTCTATCTAAAAGGAAGGACGTAGAACCCTGCCAACTTTTCTTTCTTTTTTATTAGTACTTGTTTGCTACTACTGGGAAGTACCAAGAACTTGTTCATTCTGTTTTTAACACTACAAAAGTATAATAAGGTTCTCACCTCGATGTTAGTTAAAACTAGATGCCCAGAACTTAAGAAGTACATTGTTTTTAAGTACCTGTAACTTTATAGTATTGGGGAATAATACAGTCATTGATCTTTGTCTTCCTCAACAATCATATTTCTTTGTCACTGTCACCCTAAGTCACCTCAGTAAACTGCAGCCAGTCTTAGTTTACTGTTATTTTTATCTCTTTCAATTATATTGAATATAATTGGGCCACCAATTATATTCAAAACTGTTGGGATGCTCTCTTTTCCTGGCTCTGAACCTGATACCTGCTAAATGACCAGGCAAGCGTAGTCACCACAGCGTGCAGGCCCAACCTTACTTTTCAATTTTATTTCTCACTTGGTCATCTAAGGCCTGATGGTGTCCACTGCAAGCTCTGGAGCCAGACTGCTGAAGTTCAACTTCTACTTTGGCATTTTATGGCTATGTAATGGCTTCAGTAAATAACTTAACCAGTCAGAGAATATTTTATCATCTGAAAGCCAAGGTAATACCCAAGTGATCAAGATAAAGGGTCCTAATATTTTAGCATTCAGTGAGCACCTCATTCCCGTCATTGTTCAGATGAGACAACTGGATCTTCCTACAGCACACTTGACGTTTCCCACTTCCTTTCATCCAGTGTTCTCAGCCTACAGTGATCTGCTCTGTCTCTGCCTGGCAAAATCCTGCTGTTGCTTTAGTCCTGCTCCCGTCGATCTGTCTCAGCAGCTCTCATGCAAAAGCCCTCTCCTTGGAGTGTCTTTAGTAACCTGTAGCATTGTATGCTTCCTACTGCCTCCCTCCCTCGCTCACACCTGACATATACTGATATATTCAACATGTACACATATAGAAATACTGTATACACACTATATATGTATATGTATCAATTGTATACACATATACACTAGATACATGCTCTCTAAATGGATTAATTCAATTTCTGTACCTATTTGAAGCAGTGATAGAATCCTTATGCGTTAGATAGGAAATCAGTTTAGTAACTATGCACCCTAACATTTTTGTCAGGGTTTTTGTGTAGTAAGGAAAGAATGTCCCGCAGCTGTCATGCACATTTGTTACCTCAAATCTTTTGAAGAAGTAGTAATATATTTAAACATTTATATTCTTGAATTAATGCAAGAATAGGGATAATGATTTCACAAATGGAATTTAGTTACACCATTCTAATAATGGCATCTTCCACCAAATAGGAAAGTTGTAGAGGGACACAGAAAGAAGAAAAGAAAGGTCTGAAGACTAGTGCAGTGGTCAGGGAGGAGGACATGCACAGAACTGTCGCATTTTATGTCTGTAATGAAAACCCATGGCGCACACATACAGTGAGGGTGCTGCCTCACTAAAAGAGTCATAAACAGAAGCTGATCTCCTCTATCGCAAAGGAGGAAGTTATATGCTAACCATATGTAGTATAATGTCGTGTATTATTATCCATATTTGCACACATGCTTTAACGCTAATCCAAGTACTGCAAAAGTTGCTGTGAGCTGGTGGGTGTTCAGCCGGTCAGTGTGCCGGAATAACACACCTGGTTCCCGCTGTACCACCACACACAGCAGGGCACATTTGTCTTTCTCACAGCAGAAGATTCTGCCCTCCCATGTGTGCCTTTTAACTTGAAGGAATAATATTTGAGGAATAGTTCTTTGCCTTCCTTTCATCTCTTCATCTACTGTATTTCCCACAATTTCACATACAGACCAGCAAATGGATCACCTCCTTCTGAGAATTTATGAAAAACAAAAATGTTTTATTTCGTGTTTTTTAAGCTTCTGTCAAGAAGAAAAAGAAGAATCAAGATGATGTAAAATTACTGTATTCTGTTGATGACTCTAAAATACCAAAAGGTAATTGAATAACGTGACAAAACTATGAAATAAGAAGAATACAAGTTTGGGGCAAGGCTGAGAGGTGATGGTCTCCTTTCTTGCACATAAATTGTTGCTTTGCTTTGCAAGATGGCAGAGGTACAGTGGTGGGCATCAAAAACTTTGTAGTAGCTATGGCTTTCAGAATTTAATCATGCAATAACAGATTTAGTGTTTTGAATTTGCCATTAAACTGTCATTAGACAAATTAGATGGAGGGTTTATTACAAATATATATGCACGATAGAACACCTAATTGTAAAATATTCTTAATTCTTAAAGTGATGTTAGAAAACTCTCGTTTTAGAAATTAAGTGTACTAACCCCAAAACCACAGTGAGCTTTTTTTTTTTTTTTTTTCACATAGGGCCTCACTGTGTAGTTCAGGCTAGCTTTGACCTCACTCGATAGTCCAGGCTGGCATGGAACTTACAGCGATCCTCCTGCCTCAGCATCCTGAGTGCTGGGTTTATAGGCATGTTCCACCGTGCTTGGCCACTTGTTACATTTCTTACCTTATTTCACTTGATATTTTCTATTAGAAATGTTAGATTAAACAATGATCCACATAACAGCAAAATTATCTTCTAATAATTCACCATAAAATAAGGGTATTAAAAATCAAACCATATGACTGAGTCAGTATATCAACACAAGATAACCTGGTCCTTATTGGTTAAATTCTAAAGAAAATAAAGTTCAGATTCTTTCCTTTCTGAATGTACAGTTTCTTTAATTTCATCCAAACTTAGCCACCTAGAAAGAAATGAATCTGGCTTAACTATTCAGGGATCTTCCAGTCTGAGGATCACTTGATACTACTGTAATTTTTTAAATTTGCTCAGTAATCACCCATTATTATATTTCCTCTCTGTGGATGGTTTTCAACAGCAAGTTCTCTAGACTACTCTGTTTATTAATTTTTCACAATCAGCTGTGAGTAAAAACTTAATTCAATGCATACATTTATGGTCCCAAAGTCCAATTTTTTAAACCAAATATGGGAGGATTATCAAGACACACGCACTTGTAACACACTAGCCCCATAGGAAATGCGTATGAGAAAACTAATTTCCTGTTTTCTCAAGCAAAATTACCTCCTCCAAAGTCATTTACTAAACACTCAGTGCTCGATGCAACCCAGACTGACCAGCATCAGAGCTTGGTGCTGAGAGAGTAACCCTGGACGGAGAATCCTGTCTTAGCCTCACCAGACTGCAGAACAATTATGACACTGTCCAGAGGCCCGACATCTGCTTCAAGACTGCTTTAGCTACTTTTACTCTATTTGCTTTCCACACAAATTTTATAATTAGCATAATTATAATTTTAAAGAGGATGCTATGCTTTTTAAATGAAGTGCATTAAATGTACTTGTATAAGTCAATGTTAGGAGAAATGACATCTTCATTACACAAAGCCTTCCAATCATAAACATGGGATACCTTTTTTATGCATTCAAGCCATTCTTGATTTCTTTCATAAGGATTCATAGCTTTTAGCACATAGATCCTAAATATATTGTGGCGTGTCTGTACTTGGCACTGATTCAAATGAAGTACCCAAGGGTTGCTGAGTAATTTTTAAAGTGTACTTTGCAGCAGCCCATTACGGTATTTCCTCTCTGTGCAAAGTTTTCAATAGTAATTGTCCTAGACTATGTTATTAATTAGTTCTTCATAACCAGCTATAAGTAAATTCTTGACTGTTTTAAGTGGTCTATAGTAGCCTTACTGTGATGTAATTTCCTTTATTCCTTTCCCATTTGTCTTATAATTGTTTTATTATGTATTGCATGTGTATCCAAGCTTTAATCAGACAATATAATTCTTTGTTTCAGATTATCAAATATATATTCAAATCAGTCATTAGGTGAAGGATAGTCTTTGTATTTGTTATACTAAATACCATTTTGGTTTCTTCCTAGGGTTCCAGGTGCCTTTCTTTATCATCATCTTTTATTCTTTACAAGTCTCTTTGTCATTTCTTTTAGAAAAGACTTTCTGGCATTGAATCATCTTAGTTTTCTTTCTATTGAAGAGGTCTTTATTTTTGTTTTTCCTTGGAAGACTTAGAAACTGACAGTTACTTTGTTTCCAGATCTTTGTAGATGTTCTTTTACTTCATCCTGTTCTCCATGATTCTGAAAAGGATGCCGCAGTATTTAATTACGTTTTCTCAATGAGAAGGGTACCATTTTTCTGACTATTTTCAATTTTAGGGGTAGAGTCAATTTTCAGGACTTTCTGAGACGTCTAAGTGTGGACTTCATTGTTTGTTTCTTCCCTCCTTTGAGCCTCACTGTGAATCTTTAAACTGTAGGCTGATAACTTTGAAAACATTTCCCTGAAACCAGCTTCCTCTCCACCAAAGGGAATGGCTGCATAACTCTGGTGATTATCATAAATATTTAGAAAATCTATGTGTCCTGTAATTATTGTCCTGTAATTATATGTAGGTACATATATAAATGGATATAAATATCATTATTAAGATATTTTAAGATAAATGTGATATTGTAATCAGTCCTCAGCAAATTGCTTTTTACCCCCAGCACTGCCTCAATCACAGTACCCAGGTGTTGCTTGAAATTTTAACGCCTTTCAGTCAGTCATGGCCCACTGTGTGAATCTGCTACAGTCTCTACATTTGGTTTATCCGTAGGTGCAAGAATTTGGTATTTTGCTTCACTGAACATAAGATTACTTTATAAACATAGTGTGCATACATTACTTTATAAACATAGCTAATACTCCTTTAGGGATTCTGAACTATGTCTACTCTTTTTAGAAATTGTTATTTTTTTAACCTCTTGGCTAGTTTCTTCCTGGGTTGATTTTCTTATGAACTTGGCAGAATTTTTCGTTGCTAGACACGAGCCTATTGTATGCATGTATATGACATAGGAAATTTCAACTTACAACTTAGCACATCCTTCTAGCCTATCTCTGAGTATTTAGAAGCTCTTAATTCAATACAATAACATTTAAAATTTTTCTTCATAAATCGTACATCTGTTACTTTTTATTTGAGGTTAATTTGGATGAGCTCTTTTTGATGTCATAAAGACGTTAATTTTTTCTTCGAGGTAAATATTTCCACAGTTAGGCTTTCCTAATATTTTAAACATAAACAAAAGCAAGCAAACAAACAAACAAACAAAAACCCAGAAGATATGTCAGTATGTAACTATAAAAGATAAGAATTATTTGAAAAGTACATAACCACAGTACCTTTATCATCTAACACAAAATAAAAATCAATTGTTCCATCATATCACCAAATATTTATACTGTTTAAAATTTCAACAGTGTCATACAGGACCAAATATTTTAATATTTGAACCCACATTGATCGATTTGTTAATGGATTAATGTTTTTTTCAGTATTTTTTAAATTCTCCTATGCATGGCTATTTCTCCTTCCTTTTCTTGGTGTGGGGGGGGTATTTTTTGTTTTTTGTTTGTTTTGTTTTGTTGTTTTGGCTATGATTTGTTTGTAGAAGAAAACTGAGTTTATCATCTTATTGAGTTCTTCACACATTGCCTTTTTGTGGATTTCATCTGGATAATCTACTTCTGAATGTTATTTCCTATTGTCCGTAAAGTACCAGTTAGATTTATAGATATTCATGTTGAATGTTCTTAGCAAGACTTAGTCTTAGAGGCAAGATGCCTTCCCACTAAGATGCACGTGATTCCTGATTTCTCTGTGATTTTAGTAGTCATCTATGTTCAGCACCTACATCCATAAATAAGTTTAGGGACAACAAAGTTGGGATACTTTAATTCTATCATTTCTTCTTCATAGATTAGCCAGAATATCTTTAGAAAAAGAGCTCACTCCACCCTCCACAGCTGTGGTTTGCTCTTATACTCTGGTAGAGAATATTTAGGAAAAGCAGACTGGATACTAAATATTTTACTATCATGTATCATGAATGGTGCCAGCAGCTTCCTACATAATGTGCTGCTTTGTTTAGTGTTATTAGGAATTCACACATTTAAACAAATGCAGTGTGCGGCAATACATCCACTTATTCAAACTCGTGAATTCATGACACTTCAGAGTGCACTAGCACTGTTACTGTTCTTAGTAATGTTGAACTTGTGCCAGCTCTGGCAAGTAGAAGTCCCTTAGAGAAAGTTCCAGAATCCTTCCTGACCTGGTAGCTGTCTGGTGATCTTTGATAGTTTCCCTGCAATCTGAAAAGACAGGCTGAGCCAACCTTATCTAGTATACATACAGTTGGTTCAACACCATCAAGTGTATTAGCAAATCTGAAGACATAAAATGATCATAGATAAGTTGATTTATTTCTAAACATTTTTCCTATTGTATTTATTCTTATGCATTCTTACAGCATTTTTATTATGATAGTTTTATAATGTCTTAAAATATGCAACTTGACTTAGCCAGTGTTTGTTGTTTTTCCAGGATGAGTTGGTTATTCTAGGGTCTTTCTAATTTCCTAAAAAGAATTCAGAAATTTCCTAAAAAGAATTCAGAAACAATGTGCCAACTTTTACCAGATAGCCTGTGGGGTTTTGCTTAGGACTGATTTTAATTTCCTTTTCTGTCTAACTGGGACTTATTGTAGAATGCTTGACAGGAATGGTGGTTGGGTACATCTTAATATTGTTCTAAAAAAAGTCTTTAAATACTTGTGAGAACACTGGTTATAAATATTTGAAGTTAGTCTTTATCAGATGTCTAACCTGTCTTATTCATAATTCAATAAGAGGTTTTAGAATGAATATGTACTGAACTTCTTTATTGATTTTTCCTTATTTGGAAATAATTACATTAAGTTTTTAGTTGTTGTTTTATTTTGTATGTAATGTGGTAAAGTACTTTGATTTTGAGTGGTGAACTAATGCTTAAATCCTGAAATAAATCCACTTTTTCCTTGTACATTATCTTTATTGCATATTATTGGATTTGATTTTTTGTTGATAATTCCGTTTCCTCAGGAAGAAACTGTACGAGGTTTCATTTTATTGTAAAATTGGGCAAATGATATTGTGGATCTGAATATCCTGATCTGAAAGTAAGAGATGGGGACTATTCAAAACTTCTTCAGTTTTTTGAAAGAGTTTGTGTAGAATTAGTGGAATTTCTCCCTTAGACTTTTGATACAATGAATGAAGTCACTTGAACCTGGAGCCTTTTTGTAGAAGGCTTACAATGACATATTGAATTCCCTTAATAGACTAAGGATTTTTCAGATTGTCTCTTCATGAATAAGATCTGGTAGTTTGAATTGTTCGAGTACATCTCCTGTACATCTGTTTTCAAATTTATTGTCACAAATATTAATTATATCCCTTTGTTATTCCTTTTAGTAATTACCTATAGGTTCTTCTACTGATTTATGTGTATATTTTTTCAACTCTTTGAAAGGCCCAATTCAGTGTCACTTTAAAAAGTGACATTTTCATCAAATTAAAGAGGAAAAAACTATTTCAGTATACAGTAATGGTATGTTGACTGAAAGAAGCTGGGCCAGGAAGGAAAAATAAATGATAGAGAAGAATACTGTATACTATAGAGTTCCATTCCTATAAAATTCTGGAAAGTACAAACTTATTTTGATTGAGAGGTACAGATCCGTATTCTGAGCGGGTGGCATAGAGAGGTGGATGACTTACAATGAGGAAATGAAAAAACACTTATGGATAATTGAAATTGATTACCTTGATTACACTGATGTTATCAGAGATTTCTTACATATTTCAAAATTGATGACATAATTAAATTTAAATAAGGACAATTTATTGTTCTACAATAGTCACTTTAAACATGATAAAATTTTGCTTTTATTTCCTTTTAGAATCTGCAACAAATACTATTTTTCAATCTCAGAGTTGTTCAAAGAACATCAAAAGATTAGCTTCAGCTGTTGAACAGTCTGATTTACAAGAAAATGGTACAGAACAAAAGGTAAAGATTTATGCTCCAAGATTTTGCAGTGATTATTGAGTTCTCTCTCTCTCTCTCTCTCTCTCTCTCTCTCTCTCTCTCTCTGTCTCTCTCTCTGTCTCTCTCTCTCTCTGTCTCTCTCTCTCTCTCTCTCTCTCTCTCTCTCTCTCTCTCTCTCTTGCTCTCTCTCTGTCTCTCTCTTGCTCTCTGTCATTTTTAAGAGTTATCTCCTTCAGGCAAAGATTCTATTCACAAGAACAGAAAGATTCTATTCTTTCTATTGAAAGATTCTGTTAACAAGAACAAATGCTGTTCCCCTGCAAAGAAAGAAAGTTGAAAAGATAGCTTTGTTCAAAACACAGTATGCAATTTAGCAGAAACGAATCCCAACAAATGTTTTGCAACTCAATGGTACTCTTAGCTAGAATTTATTAAACTACTGTTAGCAGGCTCTGAGCTAAGCCAGAAAGGTGGAAAATAAAGAAACTGGGTCACATGGAATGCAATATGAATGATACTGTACTCAAGAATTTACTGTCCAGGGGAGCAACTCAAAAAAATAAGTCTGGAATGATAACTTTTAGTTTAGTTCAAGCCATGCTTTTAAGAAACATTGCATTGGATTCTTAAGGCATATAAAGGTGGATTTGAATTTCTCTGAGACAAAGTGAATGACATTTTAGAGCCATACATGCATTTAAATAAAACAATACCACACAAAGGGTAAGTTCATACATTGCTACATTTTGAGCTCCATTTTAAAATACATTTAGGTCTCACATAAGATATCCCGGGAAGCTAATAATACATATTTGCCCTGACAACATTTATCAGAAGTTTGAGGCATAAACAGTGGAAAAAGTCTGAATTTATTTGCTTGACTGATAGAAGGCAAAATCTTTTTCTGAAATATAGTCATCCATGCACTTTTTTTTTTTCTCTTTTCTGTTGTGCCATTTAGAGAGATGGAATGCTAAGTAACATATCAAGCACTTATGATGACAAAGGTAAGAAAATGGGTAGTAGTCATGATGCTTCTGTTATTAAATAAATTATCAGGCTGTGCTCGGTGGCACAGCACCGGCTTAGCAAGTGCAAGGTCCTGAGTTGGATTCCTGCTACCAAAAAATAAATAGATAAATAAATATAATAGCATGGGTTAATGCAAAAGAAGTGCGGTTATTTTGAAAGATAAAAGGGTATTATAAAATTATTTAATGAGTAAAGATTCTGTACTTAGACCATACATCTAGGTTATGGTTGGAGAAGTATAGCTTTTGTAATTTGCAGAATGTAGAAAAGTCACAGTCCCCATCGTGCCTGTTTGCAGTAGTAGGGAGACTGTTTTACACACTATTGTCAGAGAGGCTGGAATACAGAAAATTGTTCTCAGGAGTATCCCTAAGCCCTACAATCATCTAATTCCCAAAAAAGTATGTCCCACTCCCTTGTTCCTTGAAATGTATTTTACCTAAGATTTTGTGAGTTGTTAGGATTCTCTAAGTCACCAAAAGATATTTGCATGCATATCCAACATGTGTGAGTAGACAACAGCAGTGCAAGGTCTGCCTCAGACTCCAGGGAGGCTGATTCATCCGCCCCGAGCCTCCCGTTTTCACCTAGCACGAAACTTGAGATTTTTCCTATTGTGTTTTGTTTTATTTTATATTTCGTGATACCAGAGATTGAACCCAGGGACTTCACAATGAGCTGTATCTTCAATCTTTTCTGTTTTTTAAGAACAGCGTCTTGCTAAATCGCGAAGTTGCTCAGGCCGAGCTCAGACTTGCAGTGTTCATCCTGACTTAACCTCCCGACTGCTGAGGTCACCAGTGGGTGCCAGAATGCTAGCTTCAAATGCTTGCGTTTTCCTTTTATTTTTACATCTAAAAGTTGCTACTTCTGTTTGCCTCCTTAATTTATTGCCTATTTCCCATCTGCTCTGCAATCCTTGTGTCCTCTGTCTTTTCTAGTGCAGAGACCTCCCTTCCAATCACTTCTTTCTCCTTAATCTACCATGCATTTTACTGTGAAAGCAATTCACCTGAAAACTTCTTTATGTATCCTACAACACAGGTTGTAAGTTGTGCTTTATTGCCTACTAAATGAAATGCAAAGTTAATTTTAACAGTGGATTTTGGTTAATTTCTTAAGATGAAACTATTGTAGTATATAATTTAGAGTCATAGTTAAGTGTTTCCAACTTTTCTTTGAAGGCGATAGTGAGCCGTGGACATTTTTTGTAGGGGATGAGCATCAGAAAATCATGTTGTCTTGGAATACGTAAATTCCAGATTGTAGGAATTCCAGTCACTGTGGCTCCCAGCAGAGAGAGAATGTTAGAGCAATGCTATAAATTAACTTTTTCCCTTATTCCAGGAGTAATTAAAGGTGTCTCTTTTTTTCCTAGGACCTATAAACATATCAGCTCAACATTCACCTACAAAAAATAATCGCAAATCTTCGTATTTTTTTATGGATACAAAAACAGAGGTATATAGTACTTGTTTTGCTTCAAACACAAGCAGAGTAAATAAGAGATGTTCTTATGTTCATCACTGTTATATAAGTGTTATTCTTTTACCACGCAGAACAGTTTCATTCTTTGAAATTAGCCATACCATACTAAAAATGTAATAACTATAGGACAGTTAGCCAAAATGTAAGCCAAAATGTGTTAGTTTATAATATGGTATCTGTTGCTTTCAGAGAAATCAAATTTAAAAATTTGGACTCAACTGTTTCTAGTACTAATTTAGTAGTATGTGACCAGTGATCACATACCTCCAATGGAAAGTTGCCATTATAAACTTGGATCACAGCATTGCATAAGAAATAGATGTTTTCTGTGAGTTGTCAAGTCATTAATATAGGAGTCAAATCCACAGGCTTGGTTTCTATTTTTAAGTTAATGTTGCCTTTTCACTGTACTAAGGAGTTAACACCTTTTGATAAAGAGTTCAATAGACAAATTAGTCATCCTAGAAAGTGGCACCTCTTCCTTTGCCCTATATTGCATAATAACTGACAGATTAAATTATGTAGAACTCCGAAATGTAGTATGCTTATCACAGTATGCTTCTGTACAATAATCTGATTACAAATAAACATTTTACAACAATTTCCTGGGTATAGCTCAGTGTTCTGGTATGTCCAAAGGCCACATTAAAATAGTTTCTAAAAGAAGGAAAGGTTTCTTAGAAACATTGGCAATTGAAATTGTCATCTTACCCAACATGTTTCACAGGTTATGTCTTTAATTTTACAAAAGAAGAAAAACACCTTTAAAAAACTGTGTCTCAATTTTATTATGCACTTCTTTTGGGTAACATGTGTGCTATTAACTTGTCATTTGTCCTAGTCTGAAGTGAGTGCCAGATGTTCACAGATACCTAGTTTATTATGAGAAACAAAGCGAATGTTTTATTATAAGTATTTAAATATATTTTCCAACACTGTACACAACCTACTATTGTCAGAATATACGCCTTGAGCGGCCCATTTTCAGTTCTGAGGTCTAGAAAATAAAAAAGAAATTTGTTATACTGGATTTGTTTCCCAGGACAGTTTGAATTCCAGGAAGAGAACAGATAGATACAGGCATGTATTAAGAGGAAATTTACTCTGTCCTGAAGCTCTGCTTCAACTTTCCATCAAATGGTAGCTGTCTTTAAAAACAAAAACAAACTTATTCTCCTTCCCGTGCAGTTCATTAGCTTCTTTGCTAATCTGAATCCCGTAGATAATTCTTTCAGGTTGCCAATGCATACTATTGTGCAGAAGAGATAACATGGCAGCCTTGAGAACCGATGTCTTTGAAGAGCCTTCATATGAGTGTTCCCTCGGAGGGCTGGTGTCTGGGAAAGTGCCTGGCAAATAGTTTTGCTTTCCCTTACCAGGAAAGTGGTTCACTATAACTGAACCACGCACTTTGGTTGTTGCTGAACACCTGCTTTCCTTCAGTGGGTCTGGGATTTTGAGTGTCTGCATGATCAGTGTTCAGTGAAATGTGGAGTGCTGAGCTTCTTACTGATTTTCTGGAGGTGAAACACAGCAAAGTTGCTACTCTGTTTTTACTGATAGAAGAGGCTGCATACTAAAATGTGTCTTCTCAAAAGAGAGAGCAGGAGAGCACAAAATCTGTGCATGGAGTTTTCCAGACTCAGCCTGTTGTCTTTCCTCTTAACTTTTGTGTTTTCTTTTATTACAATGAGTTTTCAGATGTGTATGCGTACAAGTATATGCTGAGTGTCAGCATCTTAACAAAACATCTATTGTGCAGATGGTCTTTGGACATGCTTTCACACAACTATGAGGTTATGGATTCTATAAATCACAGACATAATATAAGCATAATGAAAATGTGCATATTTCTTATAAACTGACATTTAAGAGAAATTTCAAAATTTAAATTTTTGTAGTTTAAATATAGAAATCATAATTGAAGTTAAAAGTGTGGCAAACACAGTTCTTTCAGGATCTGTTTTTTGTTTATGTAGAAGGAGATAAATGGGAAGGCACCCAAGTCAAGACCAAGCTACTATGACAAATCAGGTAAACATTGGAAACCATTATCGAGTAAATCATGAAATCTATTAACCTACTCTTTCAGCCAATAGTTACTTTTCTTCTGATCCACACCTATTTCTAGTGCTAGACTTTGGATGTAAAAGAGAGAAAGTCTTCATTCTTACAGTCTTACTGTAGGGTAGTAGGGAAATAGTTATAGCAAAACCCACATCCTACTATTAAAAATGCCACAAAGAAAGTAAGTGTGTGTAAAAGTCAGAAGGCCCAGGAAGATCATTTAGAGCTGTCAGAGAGATCGTCAGAAAAAGATCAAACTGGAGATACGAAGTATGGTGAGAAATAATTTGTTTTCTTCTGCCATTTTTATTAAGTCAATAACAATGTTGGCAACCCAGATTGAGAAAAAATTGTTAAAGTTTTGTGCTCATATCCTTATATCTATTGTATTCTGCTATACTGTATCTCCCATCCCAAAACACTTTGTGTACACAATGAAAAATATATATTGATTTTGTAATTTTACATGTGTATACACTGTGAAATAGTCAAGCCAATTGCATTATCTACCACTTCACATAGTTACACTGAAAGAGAGAGAGAGAGAGAGTTCAGAACACTTAAGATTTATCTTGACAGCTTTCAAGTATATAATCATATTGTATATTATCTCTCCAGGACTTATCAATTGCATAAACAAAACTTCATCCCACTTTACTAACATCTCTCCATTCCTTCTCCTGTCAACTGATAATCTCCTTTCATTTTGTGTTTTTTCAAGTTCGACATTGTATATTCCATATATAAGTGAGATTATGCGATATTTATCTTTCTGCACATTTGGCTTATTTCACCGATCACCTGTTTCACCTACAGTTCATTCATTTGGTCATAAATGATAGGATCTCCTCCTTGCTTTTCATGAATACACAAGAGATTTTATTGGTTTGTATTTAGAATAGCTTTGGCTCCACACTTAGATTCTCAAGTCTCGTCCACCAGAATCATCTCCATACCTAAACACACACACACAACACATATGTACAAAAATTTCAAAAATGTTCATAGGACTTTTATATACATCATCCTTATTTATTGGTGATACAGTGTTCCAGAGAAATGAAGTACCAATCAACTTCATTTTAAAATGCCTCTAATTTTTAACTTAACACATCTACTTCCAGAACATTTTATTTGCCTAAGGTTGTCACTTATTTATGTTTGTATAGTTGACACATATAAATCCACTCAAATCCATTCCAAAATAGAGATATTTTGCATACAAACTTCCTACCTCATCTATGTCGGAATCCACCACAATCATTTACAGCACTTTACTATATTACATACAAAGCAAGTTAGGTAATACTTAGTAGCAGAGATGAGAGACTAAACAAAGACTTCAGTGCTAAGGAAGCATATGAACCATACATTCCCCAAACAAATGTTATAGAGTACTTACTAGTTTGTGTGCTATTGATAGAGTGGTAAAATTATATCATAGGAGATATATAAGATTAAACATAATTATGATAGAAGGTGTTTTATGAGTATATTTTGAGTATATTGTAAGGGTATTTATTTATTTAGATAGTTTTCAAGAATGAACTTCAAGAAGACTTAACACAAGCTTAGGGAAAACTAAAAAGTTAAAAGAGAATCCAATGTGCTCCAAGGGAGATGGCTGAAGAAGTGGTTCAGGGTGTAGAAAGGATGAACTATTAAGCAGATTTCAAGTATCGCTGTGTCTCTGGACCACAGAATACTCGTCAAAGACTAGCCAGAGATACACTGTACAGGGAGACGAGTGTCACACCTACTGTGTATATTTTGTCTTGCTAACCACTTTGGATTTTGGTCTGGGGAGTTCCTAAAAGCTTGTAAACAAGGCTGTCAAAACTGAAGATAAAGACCTGTTAGAAGTTATTATTACTCTTAGGGGCTGGGGATGTAGCTCAGCAGCATAAGCACCTGCCTTGCAAGCAGGCAGTTGTGAGTTTGATCCCTGGTACCGGTAAAAAGGAAAAAGACAAAAAAGAAGAAGAAGTTGTTATTACTCTTTAACAAGAGAAACAAGTTACCAGTTAAACCTGACTTAATTGGTAAATCAAGGATGTATATCAATTTAAATTTTCTTTTCATTTGACATAGGATTTCAAGCCCCAGGCATTTTGCCTTCCCCTGTTGTCTCAAATATGTAAGTATCTTTAAAAATATGTCTAACCATGAGGTAGTGTTTTTATAACTGCTTGTGCGAGTCATTCCTAATTACAGTAAATCTTCTCATAATTCTACTTGGAAATAGTGAAACTTCATTTGGAAAACTGTGAACTAAGTTATGTGTGACTAAAGCCAGCGTTTCTCTCCTTTCTTGTAGTTTCCCTGACTTTGCCTGTATTCAGGGTCTTCATGCCTTCTCCCCATGTAGTTTCCCATGGCCTGAATGTTTTCTATTTTCCTCTTCTTTAAAACTATGTACCATTTCTTATGCCTATTGTGATAATTGGCTTCTCAAAGATGGTAAAATAGTTTCGCATCCGGTATGAATGACTTAATCAATAACCTGCCTCCAACAAGATGTACACAGTGTAAGCCAAATAATAATCACTAAGGATGAAAGCTCCCAACACTTAGAAGAGGTATTTTTAAGCCCAAGTGCTTTTCATTCCTTAAGTTTTGGAGACCACCTATTTCAGTGATGTTTACATTTACTTTTCTTAACATGAGAAGAGAGAGTAAGACTACCATGAAGACCAGTTCTATCATATTTTTAAAAATCTAAAAGCCAAGTGAAGTACAACAAAGACTACAAAGTCCAGATTTTATATAAATGTTGAAGAAAAGTTAAAGATTTGTGGTGGCCAAATGCATTGACATAATTGGACCAAGATTTTGGTTGCAAAAATTTCAACTTTCAGCACATTGGGGATCAGGTAATATGATTTACTATTTTCCCATAAACCCAAAGCACTGTAATAGATGCAGAAGGAAGGGAACTGAGTACAGGCCAAGGGAAACAGAGGAAGAATAATGTAGCTATTTTGTTTATTGAATTGGTTTAATTTTATTATTGGAAATATAAATACTTTAAAAAAAAAAAGAAAGAAAAACTCCACAACGAAGTCTTAGTCCCTGTCCCAAAATCCAGAACTACAGCATCACTTCAGTCTTTCAGAACAAATATTCACATTAAAAATCTAAGCTCCATTAAAATAAAACTTTTTTTGCATGAGCTGAACTTTCTTCACGGCTCTTGGCAGCTTCAGAGGTACCTGGCACTGGGAGCTGCCCACCCAGCCAGCCTCACTCCAGGTCAGCGAGCACAGCACAGCTGCACGGTCCCCTGGTCCTGGTCTCACCGCACTCATCTCAGGCTTCCAGTTCTGACGCAGCTTCCAGGCTCAGAAGACCGCCCTGGAGAAGCTTTGCTTCTTCCTTCATTCACCATCTTTCTTGTCCCCCTTCACTGCATGCTTAGTTCTTGGCTTTTTAAATATTAATACAAGGAAGCCTACACAAAAATCTGTAAATTAGGAATGAAAATTCATGACCAACAGATTGAAGGCAAAGCAAATATGATAGCACTGGGAGTAAATTCAGTGGCAATCATTAAACATTGAACTTGGATAATGAACATTTTTTTTAATTGTCAGAAAGGAAATAAGGAACAGATTGAAGGAGGCAGTAATGTTGCCTGGCTTAGCCCAGGTAGAAACTTGACTTTATGTATTAATAGCTTGATGGTTTGGAAGAGAAATGTGGATAAATTAGCAAACATAAAAAGTAATTCAGTAATTCACAAAGGCCTAATTTAGACTGAGAGGTAAGTAGGTACACATCCAAAAACTTGAAATTGAAATGCATTTGGACAGGTGTACTGGGTCAAGCCCTTAATCCCAGCACTCAGGAGGCTGAAGTAGGAAAATTGTGAGTTTGAGACCAGCCTGGGCTACAAAGTGAACTCAAGGCAGGCCTGAACTGCATAGAAAGACCCTGTCTCAAAAAGACAAAAAAAATTTCAAATGTATTTATCAAACATTTATTGAACATTCACTGTGTACAAAGAACAATGTCAGATGTCTGGCAGATACCACAGCATACTCAATCGCACTGCTCTGATTGTAGAGCGTCACTTTACTGGAGAGGAGGAATGAAATTTAAACCTTCACCTAGCTCATTTTCTTACCATCTTTCTTGAAAATTCACATTGGAATATTGTGAGTTTCTGGTTAATTTCTGGAATTTTGGAAATTATGATTTTTGACCATTGTTTTCCAGTGCCTGATGTTTTTAATAGTTTTTCTTTTTCTTTTTCTTTTCTTTTTTTTTTTTTTTTTTACACTGACACTATTGCTGACTTTATGTGGTTGTAACTAGGTTTTTTTATTACTGTGCACTCTGGAAGCTATATTCTGAACCCAGCAGTCACATTTTATAATCTTCAATGAAGTTTTCTTGAATATTCATTTAATTTTATCCGCAGACCCTTGCTTTTTGCTGCATCTTTCTGCATGCTTTTGATTCAGAAAGTCTGTTGGGAACAGGTATCTGTGAATTCCAAGGGTTCCATTTTGTGTCAGTGAAATAACATGGAAAGAAGAGAAAATTGAAGCCTCAGGTTAGATTGTAGAATATATAAAATGAGACAAATGTGGAAATTTGGGTTATTTAACACACCAGAAACAAATGAGTACAAAGAAAAGAGAACATGTCACTGACATCACTTTCTTGCTATGGGCTCATATTGCAAACGGTTCCAGTTTGAGGACAGATTGCTCTCACCAGGTCCTTAAAAATGCAGTCTCTCTCGGTGACACAGGCTCCCCTCAAACTCCTGGGTTCAAACAATGCTCCCCCCTCTGCTGCAGATTGGCTAGGATTACTGATGCCATCCTAGCCAACGGGCTCCCCTTCCATACCCCACTTTCCGAATTGCGACCAATGAAGTTTATGTTTGCTGCTAGAGTTTACTTTTCTTAAAATTAAACTTGGCCTTTGGAAAAAAGTACCCAAAGTATACAGGAAAAATAAAAGCAAGAATTTTTCTTAAAGAAGAAAGAAGACAATCAAAAAGCCCATGTTGACAAAAATAAGTGAAAACAAGTCAGAAGTTGAACTTATGGTTTGGAGCCCATGTTTGATTTTGTTTGTCTGTCATTTTATGACAGTTCTTTGATTTGTTACAATTCAGAGAACTGTTTTGTTTTATTGGTGCATGATAATAAATCTCATTAGAACACAGGAGAATATTGCAGAAGATAAAAAGAGACACATCTTAATTGTATGGAACATAACTAGAAACCCACAATTTCAACCCGTAAGTGTGGGATAATCATTCACATGCTCTTTTCCACCTGAAAGATGTGGAGAAGGGATGTTGGAACTGTGAGTAGGACAGTGTCATCAGAAAGCTCATCCAAGCTTCCCAAAGCGGACATTCCTACCAGACCTGTACACTGGTTATGCAGCAGCTAGAATTCCACTCCCCTGAGGAGCACTAAGGGACTGAATCCAGAAGCCCTTATATAAGGAAGAGATGAAATGACATGGTGGTATCCCTTTTAAAGTTCTGTAGAGAAATTCTCTGATATAAAAGAAATAAACTGATTAGATGACTAAACTTTTGGAAAGTTTTTTTCATTAATTCTTCATCCTAATAACTACATGATAAAACTTTCTTTACAGACAACAGAATCTTCTACAAAATTGTGTGCAGGGAAAAGTACGTATCATAAAATCCATTGATAAAGCAGTATGTAATTACACTTCTTTTACTGTTGCCATAGGAAAACATTTGTCAGTAAAATGCGTTGGAATCAGCCACTGACGATGGCCAGTCCTTTTCCTCTCGGATGTCTATTTTCATGTTGCTCTTAGGTTTCGCTATGGTCTAAAGTTAGCCCAGATAGGCGTTGGCCTATAAAGGGGTCATGATAGACCAGTCAAGGAAAAAAAAGCATTATGGAGCAATACGTTTTGATATCACTTCACATCGACACCCACTTAATCGCTAGAATGTTCAGCAAATACAAAGCTTTGATTTTAGGGAAATGTCTCAGTTTAATATTATAATGAGAAAACCTGAAAAGTATAATTCTATTTGCCACATTTCACGATATCCCAAACTGTGTTGTGGTTGATTTCAAACCTTTATCTCCTTTTGAAAAATTCTGATTTTATTTTTGAATATACTGAGAGATACTGATTTATGGCACATCATTGCAAGATAAGTGCTCTGTACAGTAAACCATCAACCCAAAAGTTTTTCAAACCCCAATCACTCTCTGTAAGATTAGTGAAAAAAATCTATTAGGAATTTTGGGGATTAGGGCTGAGTAAAGTCGCCTTTGCTATGATGCTACCCCCAAATTCTCAAAAGAACAAGAAGGGAACGTGCTATATCAAGGTTAGTTTGCTGTGCCTTTACCCTGAAACATAGATAATTTCAAACTAATTTAGGCAGCACTGTGGATGAGAACAGCCTTATTTGTATAATTTTATACTGTCTTGCTCCCACACTAGCCTTCTAGGTTCTTGCCTTACTTGTGTTTGAAGTGAATATGTTTTAAGAATTATAATAATTTAAAAACAAGCTACTGCTTATTATGAATAAAAGCAAACCCAAATTACACATGTAGTCAATAAGTAAATGGTTTTGAATCTTGTGGGTGCCTTCTCTTTCTATTCCTGGTCCTGTATAAGTCTCCCGCAGCTGCGCTGACCACTATGGAAATGATTATGCAAATCTGGTTTCTGGTTTCCTGTCTGAGACTGAACAGTGTCTTTAACGTCTCTATTCCTGCTAAGCCTTCTTGGCTGTTTGATATCTAGTTCTAGAATATTCCTTATTTCCCATCTATATTTATTTGTTCTTTCAAATGATCTTCTATTATTTAGCTTTCTGATCTCAGCTTTACACTGATATTCCTGTCAGGTGCAAAGTCAGTGAATCTCTAAGCAACGTTTATGTTTATTTTGCATATCAAGCGGTTCTTAACAGTCAGGTGTTACACATATACAGAGCACAGACTCATCTTTGCAGAGTACACATAGGTGAGGATGGCTTCTTTTCCACTTTCATATTCCTGATAGATGGATGCCTCTGAAAACTCATGAATATTTTTAAACACATCTGTTAGAAATAAGTTGGTGTGCCTTTAAAATTAGCAAGTTTATGAATATCACATTGGATGCTGAGATATTTCCTTGACACCTAGAAGCCTAGGTGGCAATTTGGTGTTTGTGTCTTTTAACAATAAACTCGTTGGCTGAGCCTGGTGACACAAACCTGAAATCCCAGCAGTCAGAGATTGAGGCAGGAGGATCACCCTAAGTTCAAGATCAGCCTGAACTATGTAGTAACAGCCTGTCTCGAAACAAAAAATATTTTTTTAAAGTCACTTATAAGTGACTTTTAAAAAGTGAACTAGAAAGATTAAGAGATGAAGCCTTCTGAAGGAATATGAGTGAGTAAACATTGTATCCACAAAGTGCTTCTCTGTACTGCAACACAAACCAATTTAAAATTAATCTAAAGTCATAAATAGATGTTTTACTGGGTTTTTTTGGTATTGGGGATCGAACTCACGACTGTACACTTACAAGGCAGGTGCTTATGCTGCTGAGCTAAATTCCCAGCCCTAAAGTCTAGTATTGCATGATTTTTTTTTGTCTCCTTTCCAGGTAACTTCTGAAGAGCTAAATAGCATAATTCAGAATATAATGACCTGGGTGGTAGCTACAGTGACTAGTATATTATACCCAGCCATCACCAGGTATGAAGAAAGGCTGCATAGTAATACATACGCAGCCTCTGAGGAGTCTACCCTGTCTTCAGACAGCTCAAGCTTTTGCAGCACATGCAGTGAAGAGTTCACGTACCGAAGCTACACCTCTGCAACCACTAAAACATTTCAGGCAGACACTTGTTCATTTGCGGTTAATGTGTCAGGGAAGAAACCAAGCCCAATTTTAAAACCTCCTCCAGCCCCAGTGGAAAGAGAAGTTATGGATAAGACACATCACAGGAAAGGACCTTCTCCCAAGGTAGAAAGAGAAGTTACGGATGAGTCACATCACTGGGAAGGGCAAACTCTAAGCTCCGAACTCAAATATGACGAGGCCCATTTGACCTATTCATACCCCACACTCAGAAGTTGTAGTTCTGATAGTCAACTTCTAGCATCTTTGCAAAGAGGCACAAAGAAATCTAAGGATGCTACCACTGAAACTGATGGCTCAGTGACCACAGTGCCTTGTGAGAAAAAAGCAAAAGCCATGGATGAGTTGAAGAATTTAAAGAATGTTTTTGTTAACTTTAAGTGTCACTTGAAAGGGGAAACTAAATTGATTTTGGAGAGCATTTTTCAGGAAATAATGTCTGATTTAACTCAGGCCATTCCCTGCATTTCTTCTGTTACTGCTGAAGTTTTTGTTGACCAGTCGGAGCCTGAAAAAGATGACTTGATCTCCAGTATTGATATGTGCTCGTTAGCTTCAGACATTGTGGAAAATGTGTTTGATAAACTAGAATCTGCAGTTGAGAAAAAATGTGTTCAGATTTTCTCACAAGAAGAGTTATCAGTGGACATGAAATCGAGTTTAACATCTAGTGGGGAGTATTTCACATCATCAAATGGAAAGCCTTCAGAGGATTCCCTGCCTTATGCTGTGGAACCTATGTGCACTCTTGCAGAAGATATGGTGCATGGCATTTTAGAAAAGCTGATGATCTTTACATCAGTCAAGCAAAATGAACGTCCTCTTGAAGATGCAACTAAACACCAGCAACAAAAGACAGACCCTCCCTATACTGTCCTTCAAAGAGCTAGCCAGAAGAGATCTACCTCTGAACAAGAAGAGAAGGCGAATATAATTGCCAACGAAGAAATAAAAAACTTAATGTCAAACGTTTTCTCACAGTCCTGTTTAGTTCATCACATAGAGGAGGCAGTCAGTACTATATTAGGTTATCTACAAACTGAACTTAACCATGACAGACTCCTTGCATCTGAACAAACAATAATATTCCTTCAAATACTTGATGAGATCTTCACTCATCTCCACCACAAGCCAGTAAAACCAAGTGTCCACAAAAAGAGACGATCTACACAGAGAAATTCTTCTGACATGAAGGAAAAATACAGGCTCACTGGAACAACCATGTCTCACAGTGCTAAGGGCAAAAGACCATGCCCTCGGGTTAATGTTCCAGGCATGGTTTTTTACTCTGAAGATGATAATGAAGAAATAAACAATATTGTGAAAAATGCAATTGATTCATCTCTCAAAGAGGAAAGAGCAAAATCACGAGAAAAAACACCTAATCACAGGTTCACAAAGGCAAACACTTCTTTTGACTACACAAGAAATGCTAAACCACCAACAATGCCTTCTTCTCGCAGCAGCAGCAATGATTGGGAGTTAAAGACTGAGCTCCCACCGCTTATCAATGAAGACATTTTAAAGGAGAAACACTGTCTGAATAGAGACATTTCAGTTTTCAGCCATGATGAAAAGCATCAAATAAAAAGGGCTTCAGAGAAGACAGTTAAACATGTTATAAGAGAAATGCTCAAGGATATAGCCTCTGTGTCTCCTGGTCGTCTAGGTAACAAAACTGGGAAAGAAACCTCCAGTCTTCCCCGTGAAAAGTCCCAAGGGCTCTTACATCAAGAATGGATGGACCAGATGTTCTCTATGTCGGAAATAACTTCAGTGGCTCAAGAAATAACAGATTCTGTGTTAAATATACTTTTTAAGGCATCACACTCCTTGTCCAGTCCCGCTAAAAGTTCTGCTTCATCCTTAGTTCATCAGACTTTTCCAGATAATCCTGACGTGTCCTATAGAGTCACGGAAGTGGCAAATAAAAAGCCACTAAAAATATGGTTTGATAGTGATAAGAAAATGAAACGTTTACCTTCACTTAATGTAGATTCTGCAAAGCCTTCTTGGTTAAAATCTGGAGAAAGTGAACCTAAATGTGTAGATAACATTGTTGATAAGATCACTAATACCGTTTTTAAAAGGCTGAAGTTATTTGTTTGTCCAAAATTGCAAACAGAATACAAACTTTCATCTGCCAGGCAATCTTTATTGAAATCGCAACTTAGTACTTACACCGCTAAAGTAGTAAACATTGTTTTAGATGCTATCCAGAATGAACTGGAGCTCAGTAAGAAAAATGTAAATCTTAGGGACCTAGACCATAGCAAATCCCATACAAGTAAAGGGATTTTGGCTGATGCTGATAAGAAATTAGAATCTCTCATAGCAAATCTCAATGATGACAATATGGAAAGTCCAATTCTAACTTGGATTTGTGAGATATTATTAAGTGGGAATGGAGATCAAAGAAATAGCTCACTTTCTTCAGGTAAGTCAAGATCTACAACTTCAAACGGAAATGAGAGTACTGAGAAACAAAACATTTTGTCAAGTAGACGGGATAAAGAAGCTTTTCGTAAATATTTGGCTACTCCTTGTACCATCCACAGTACCCTGTACAGAAAAGGCCTCAAAGAAAAAACTAATGTGCAGGTATTAGACAGGATTGGCGAAACAGTACATGAAATGTTAGACAAACTGGTCGATACTCCTCCTGATCTTAAGGCATCCTTTAGAGAGCAAAAAAGAGAAAATGCAAAAACAGATCAACAAATGGCGGCTGCACAGAAATCTAATGTTCAGGTCATTTCCAAAACAATTTTAGAATATATCCTTGAAAAGCTATGTTGTATTGACATGGATACCAGTTTGGCAAGTACTGAACTTAAAGCTGCCTTAGAATCTCCTGATATTGACAAGCTATCCTTCGCTTCAATTATTGAGGAAATGGGCAAATGCACAGACATAATATCCAGCATAATTTCTGGAAATCCAGAGACGGATAACCCAGAGGTGACTAAAAGCAAGACAAAAAATATTTCTTCTGGGTCTTCCAAATTTGAGAACTCCAAAGAAGCTCACCAAAACACCCTGAAAGCTGTTGCTTCTGATATTCTTAATATGGTTTTCACTAACCTGGAAGGATTTGCCAATGGAAATTTAGAAATTCAAGATGCTGGTAATGATGGCAATAAAAAAGGCAGTAAGGTGGACGGGGATAGTGGAAGCAGCGGGGCTATCCCAGATACACGTGAAGAACCCATAGAGTCTGTTTTATACACGCAGGCAAAGAAGGTATCAAGTGCTCTTTTGAAATCCATTCAGACAGAATTAAATGGGAACTCAGATGATTTGAAGAAAAGTGTAAAAAAGCAATCACCTGAGACGCGAGTATTTACAGACATAGTCAATTTAATTTTAGATGTAGTATCCTCCGATACACCTCATGAAACTGAATCCAAAGACAGAGACGTTAAAACCTACCGGTACCAGCCAACTTATGGAAATTTTCTCCCTGGAGGAGCTGAATCAGATTCATTTCCAGAAGATGATGGGCATACAGAGAAAAAAGTCCCTAGGGAGAGAAAATCACTGAGACAGGGAGCTAAATTCTATTCTCCTAAACAGAAAGTTCTAGAAACAAGTCTATGTGAAATTGAAATGAAACTCACAGAGCCACATAAATCTCCAGTCATCCCCATTATAAGAAATATTTTGAATGAAATTTTTCAGAATAATTTAATCAATCAGTTAAATGTGCTGTTACTCTCCAACTCTCATTTTGATGGCATTCCTCACGATGGTCATGAGTCCATTGCTCAGAAACCTGCTCAGTTTATGGGTAACATAATGGGACCTTTGGTGTCTGACACAGATGTGGTTATAGTGGCAAGCGATATTGTTAGAATTGTGTTTCATAAACTTTATACAGCTGCCATGACAGAAGAAAACGTAAGTGAAAACAGATGTAAAAGCATCACATTTTCATCAGATGCCTCTTTCTGTGAACGTACCTATGGAGGAAACTCTCTGATTACACTGGACAGAAATCTTTGCATGTTGCAACCCAGATTCAGTGTTGACAAACAGAGCAAAGTCAATATGATTGAAGACATTGTACAAACAATATTTCAAAACTTGGAAACATTTGCTACTTCCAAAATAAAATCTCTTGTGTGTTCCCAAGTCAACTTCACAGCCCCAGAAGTTTTACCTACTCAGCAAGATGAGGGTACACTAAGCAAATCATTGTCATCTGAAAATTCATACTCTGATGGGCAATTTTCCTTTCGCTCAGTGGAGCCTAAGACCAATATATTTTGCCAAATCTCTTTGTCTAAATTAAATATTTATGCAAAAGACGTGGCTAGAAAAATTTTACAGGGAATCAAACATGAGTTGGATAAGGAAAGAGAAAGTTCTTTCTTAATTCGTAACATTGTGGTTTCTGAAGGCATTGTAAGTCAAATTGTTAACACAGTACTAGATATTATATCTTGCAAAAAAATAGGTAACAGCAGCCATGATAAACAGAATGACTCTGCTCAGGCAGACTACGTTATTGAAAAGTTGTTCAATAAGACTGAGTATCAAAAAATACTTCAGTTTCAAATACAGAACACCATCGAAGGCATCTTATGTGATATTTATGAAAAAACTTTGTATAAGAATAATTTCTCATTTGCCACACCCACTCTAAAATATCACATAGCTGATAAATGTTCAGAAGCAAGTTCTGAAATATGTACTCAGGGTACAAATAAGATTTCCCCTGACCTTCCAGTTCCTAGGTCAGATGTCCTCTTGCTATGCAAGGAGGTAGTGGATATTGTTCTTCATAGCCTCGCTTCTGCTGCCAGACTTGGAATAGTTACAGAGGTGCCTGCTTTGGCAAGATCCACATTTTGTGATACGTTTTCAAAAACAGAGTACCAAACATCTCTTCTTATGGAGTCAAAAGCCAAAGGAAAACCAGAGTGGTTTCAATATGCAAGTGACAAGGAAGCAGCATATACTGATGGTAATCAGACAGCTGTAGAGGAGAAAGAGGACCCCAAGCAGTCTGCTCCTGACCCATGTGCGGAAAGTGCTAATTTTATCGCAAAAACTATTTTCAATCGATTACAAACTTTTGCCACAGAAAGAGTAGATTCACTAATTACTCTTGCTTTTCAGCCTGAAGGAACATCATTTGTTAGTCCAGCACTGGAAAACTGTAGACAAGATGACAGTGTTTCTCACGAATTAAACCAGGTGGAACTTCATGCAAATGTCCCAAAAAGATCAACTAAAACCATTCTCAGCCAAAAGCTCACAGAACCTACTTCTGCCTGTTACAGAGGAAAAATTAGAGCCACAATTCATTTATCGAAAGCTAGCCTGAAGGAATATGCTGATATCATTGCCAAAGCTATTTTGAAGCTTATTAAAAATGACTTAGACTTAGAAATTCAAAAGATGCAGTCCTATCCAAATGACATTTTATTCCAAAAAAATGTAATTGTGAGTGAAATCATAGACAACATCTTAAAGGTTTTACATAATAAAATATCCATAGAGGAAATTAGTGTTTCCTCAGAGAAGACTAACTTTGCACAATTAACTCCATCAAACGAAATACCCCTGGGACAAAAAGAAAAGGAAAAGGGCACTTCATCTCTGCTTACAAACTGTCCATTAGAACAAAACCAAATGACATTTGAAAAGGAAAGCCAGAGAACTGTTTTGGAAGAAATATTTATGAGGAAAGGGAAACCAGAACAAAAAGAAACAATTGAATTGCTCAGCAAAGTGGCAGAACTTTTGAGTAAGTTAGACCAAAGAGTAATGGAAATCATAGGCCATTTGCTTCCATTTAATGAAGTCCCCCATTTTAATTTTAGAACTAAAACTTCAGGCAGAACTGGAAAAACCTTCTCTCAATCACGCATTAGCAGTATAGCAAATGATATCATCGACTGTGTTTATGATAAAATGTACTCTGTTGTTGTGACAGTATTATACAAAAATGACGAAAGTAGGGGTGAAGGAGAAACATCCCACAAGAATGATACCTCAGCAATGAAAGCACTATATTTTAGGGGAACTAAGCAAGCAGGAAAAAGAAGTAATTCCCCTAGAGGTGAGATACCAGAGGAAAGTCCTAACGCAGACAATCAGAATGTTTCTGAATTAGGAAAGACTTTCCAGCAATATTCATCATTACAAATAGCAAAAGATTTAACCCAAATAGTATTCAATAAGATCAGAGATTTTGTCTCACTACATCTAGAAGAGAACTTGTCCATCACAGGGTATTCTGAGGAGCTGCAACTTTATAGATTGCAGAACTCTAAAGATAGCATTAAGGATGGCTCTAAGCCAGGTTTTAAAACAAATTTAAAAACAAGACCTTTGCATAAATTTAAATCAAAACTACATGCAGGACCTAGTGCGGTTAAGGCAAAAAGCAAAGGCAGGTTAAGTACTGGAGAGAAGACACCGAGAGATGGGCAAACAAAGACTTCCATTCGTCTGCCGCACATCTTTGCCACAGGAGATGCCAAAAACTTATTGGAAACAAAGCTTCCCCCGTCAGAACTAAAAGTGTATGCCAAGGATATGATAAGCAATATTCTAGAAGCAATAATGAAAGAATTTGAAAGGGTAACACAAAATAGAACGATGGCACCTATAAAAGTTTTACCATCTGATCAAATCATGGAATCCAGTAAAATAGTGAGCTTGGTTTTACAAGAATTAAATGCCACAAGCAACAGTTTGGCTTATCCAATCAAATCCTCATGTCTGGACCATCTCAAATTTTCGTCGCGGTGTTTATATTCTCCTGCTAAAGAACAAGCATGCTTTTACTTAGAGGATGTTTCCTCGCAGCTAGAACAGATTTTTCCTAAAGAAGGTATATTTAAAAAAATGTTTGACAAATGGCAAACAGATTCAAATGACATGGAAAATGAAAAACATACTCTGTTAACAATAGCTGATAATATTTTGACTGAAATTTCAATAAAAGCCAAAGACTTAGAATATTCTCTTTCACTTTTAAATCTGCCATTTCTCGAACATGGTGAAAGCAGTTTCTCTAATCAATCTAAAGAAGATTGTTCTAGAGCAGAGGACACGAAAGCACAGATTACTATGTTTGGAAGAGAAATTGTTGAAATGCTGTTTGAAAAATTGCAACTCTGCTTTTTGTCCCAGATGCCCATTTCAGAAACTCCAACGAATGAGAAAGAACTCAGCACTGGTAAAAGTAAGCATGGTTTCCCAACCAAGTACATCAACAGCAGTTTAGACATCAAGACGAAAGATCAAATTCCTACCACCTCTTACAAGCAAGTTACTCAAGAAATTGTAGGGAGGGTTTTAAACCTGTTAGAGTCATTTGTGGACTTACAGTTTAAACATATCTCTAAATATGAATTTTCCGAAATAGTGAAAGTGCCTATTGACAACCTTTTTCAAGTTCAACAGAGACGATTAAACAAAAAAATGTCACCCAAATTACAACCACTGAAAAACTCTTCTGACGAATGCAAGCCAACCACTGTTGTTTCTAAAGAAAGCATACAGAATACTCTCTTGCAGGTACATTCATTTCATTCAGAGTTACTGACATACGCTGTTCGCATCGTCTGTGACATGCTTGCTGTAATCAAGAGCAAACTGGACAAAGAAATAAACCAAATGGGGCCATCTTCCACTAATACATTGAAAGAAAACATTGTAGCTAGTGAGATCATTGGCACATTGATGGACCAATGTTCTCATTTCAGTGAGTCTTTGACCAGAAATCTTTCAGTGGAAAGTTCATGCCAACGAACTAAAAACGCTTACCCTACCAAGCAGGATGAACCTGCAGATGATGTGAAAATGCCATCACCACAGTTAGATGATGCTAATTGGGGGCATAGTCTTCTACAGAGAAGTGAACCCAGCTTGGTGTTTTATTCCTTGGACAACACGAGAAGAGAGGACAAACTTTCATCCCCTTTACCCTCATGTGTCACTTCTGTAGAACACACCATTAAAAGTTTGGAACCATTGGAAAGGTCTGATTCAGAAGCTATGTCTTTACATTCTAGAAATAAAGTTCAAGAACATCACCAAGTGAAACCTACCTTGGGCCATCTTGATGAAGCGGTGAAAAGAAACGGTCCCCTCCCAGAAGGTAGTGTCTTACAAAAACTGCTTAAGAAAACAAACGAGTCCACAGAAGCGTCTTTACAGCAAGTCATGTCTTTCCTAGAAATGGGAAAAGGTGAAAACCCAAGAATATTTCATTATGGAGCTATAAAGCCAGTTGTTGAGCCAAACCAAATTCACACAACTGTTTCCCCACTCCGAATATGTTTAGCAGCTGAGAATATTGTCAGTACTGTGCTGTCAAGCTATGGTTTTCCAGAAGGGCCACTTACTACCAAAAGCATGGAAACGATGAAACCATTTTTCATATCGAAACAAAACTCTTTCTCTGAAATATCCTCAAGACAAAAAAATGAAAAGGAGAATTTGTTTAGAATGTGGCCTGAAACCATCAGCTGTGGATCTGAAGAAGGTGAAATCCCTGAACCTTGTGGGGAAGATTTTTCTTTATTGCAAAAATGGCAAAACAAGACTCCAAAGATAAAGAAGGTAGAGACCCCCAAAGAAGCTACAGTCATAGCATTTGCTGATCATGAACTGGGTCCAAATGAAATTCATTTGTTAGCAATGCACGTTACCACATCTGTGGTCACATATTTGAAGAACTTCAAAACTAGAGGTAAGCGAGAAATAACTACTAAAATGTGTTATGTAGTTGTACCAACTTTCTGTGATAGTTGTAGTTATTATGTGCTGCAAGCATGTATCTATAAAAATTTAAAAATTAGATTTAAAAAGGGGATGTGATTCAGGAAAAATACTAAAAGACTTATTTAAAAGATCTCCTGTCAAAGAATATGCATTCTCAGTTTTTAAATGAAAATAGCTTTGAAGGTGAGATGACTGTTTAACAGCTTTTTAATCTCCCAGGATGCTAAAAAAAAAAAAAAAAGAGTAAAAGGTTAAATATTTGCATAGCTTAACTTGAAAGGTTTTGTTGTTTGCTTTTCCATATCTCTAGGTTTAAAAAAATGAGACCATTTCAAAGCAGGAGAGTTTGCTTGAGTGTCAGGCATGGGTTCCAGTGTTTTCAAAGTTCTTATGTATATTTCTGCCTTTGTAGTCTATTACTAACATTATGGAGTTGCAAATTTCTATTTTAGTAAAACTGATATTGCAACAAAACTCTTTAGGATCCTAAAAGTAAAACAAAATATGATTTCCAAAGTTTTAACTAACAATATTTTAAAATATTTATATGAGACTTGCGAGCATTGCTGGAGAGATTAAAGATTGTTTCACTAAACCTTTAAAATAATCTTGTGCTCTAGAATTTCTAGCTTAGAGTTCATAACTGTCCAAGCAAGACAAATACCAACTTATAATTTAGAGATTTGAGTTTTGATGTTATTTTCTAAATGTACTGGGTAAAATTAAGATTCCACAGCATGAGAAATATTTAAGGAAAACACCATTTATTTTTTCATTGGATATTTCTTTCCTTTTGGTGAGTTACTCCAAAGGTAGCAACATGATAAAAAAAACTTCCAATATGTGAAATTTCCAATATTTCCTTTAATGTATACTAAAAATGGCAATGTTTTCTTTTCTGATTTTTATTGCAGAGAAGGTATCTCTTGTATTTATGTTGTCAAGTAAAAGCTGTGACTCAAGACAGCCCCTAAGAAGCATGTACAGTAATTCTTCAGTTAATCAATTCTGTAAACATCTCACTGAGTCAGTCATTTGCCATTTAATTTCAAGTATTTATGATGGTACCATAGAGGGTAGAGAAAAAGACAAACTATGGGAAATCCAAAGTATAGCATTTAACAAGATTATTTTAATTCATTCTCAAGTATTTGAGAACAGATCAATATCTATTGGAGAACTTGCTTTAAGTATTTCTGAAACAGTTATTGAGATTCTTGCCAATAATAACATTGTAGAAGCTCACGTTGGACGGCAAATGGTTTCCACCAGAAAAAAATACATTTACTCTTCAGGAATAACTTCTGCCAACTTGGATGGTTTTTTCCAAGATCTCTTAACAGGAGTGATTCAAGTACTCTCTGAAGAAATAGGAATAAACCATCACTTTAAAAAGCATGGAAGGCGCAAATCATGCTCCTTGCTTGCAAGCCATAATGTATCTATTTTCAGTAACGTAAATACCAAGGAACTGCCAGGCCTCAGAGGTTGGGAATCATCATCAACTCGCCAAATTGATCAAATTGTCCAGAAAAACAAGTTAAATTATCTGGCATCTCAGTTAGACATCCTGATGGGCAGCCTAAAAACTGATGAATCAAAAAAAGTAGTCAATAAAGTATTTAATATTATTTTAGACTTATTTTTGCCAGATGAATTCCCAGGCAGAGCTATGGATTCAGGTAAACTAGCAAGAGGTTTCTCTTCCCCAATCAATCAACAAAGTAATAGCATCCTTAGAAATAATCGGACGCTGTCCCCTAAATCAGCGTTTCTTCTCAATGTGGTATGTGAGAAGCTTATTAGGACACTTCTGGAGAAATGCGCAGCCACTTCCCCTCTTGATGATGATCTCCTTGCTAGTGAAATATCAGCAGAAGTACATCAACTTTTGAGAATACTTCACAGGATAGAAGACGGAAATCTTGATTATTACAAGAGCTCAATGGACTGCAGAGAACTTCAAGGAGACTGCATGTCAGATCTTTTGGGAAATCTGGCAGAAACAAATCAAGATATATTGTCATCAGATTATATGCTTAATATTATTTCCCACAGCTTGGTTAAATCATTGATGGATAAGCTATCACAGGGTTTACAGGAAGATCTCGAAGGTCCATTGTTTGAAAACAAATGTTTGAACCATAGAAGAAGAGAAATACAATCTAATTTCACAGAAGCCAGAACACCAGAACTCAAGAAATTAGGACAAGTTAAAGACTCTTTAGGATTCACGAGTTATGACAGTGCTTCTTCGACTGGATTCGTAAATAATCCACGAGTTGCCAGCTCCAAGGTGCAAGGACCATTTGGCAAGCAATGTACAATAAAATCCTCTTCATGGTTACCTCTTAATGAAGAGAAAACAAAGGAAATTGATAAGGTAGTCATTCGTAACATATATCAAAGAGATATGTACACAGGTGTTTATTCAGCCTCTTTTTTGGAGGAAATAATATCTGAGTTGTTTTTTCACTTCTCTACATGCTTGTGGGAAAAAAATGCAGACATCACTGAGGCCCAGCTCAATACAATGAATACATTGTTTGTCAGCCACGTGGTAAACGAGTTTAATAATGCTCAAGTCACTGTTCTGAGGAATGCGGAAGAAAGGCTGTATTTTCCACCAATCCATAAAGAAATGGTGAGGAAGATTGTTGACTCCGTTTATTATGATGTTTTACACAAATATGAATGGAAAGTGACCAGTAGTAATCTGGCAGGTGAAAATAAGTCAATAGCTCAGCAAGTAGCACATGGTATATTATTAGAGGTTTTAGATTACCAGCTCCCATCTTCCCTCAAGGCAAACCTCAGAATTCAGTCCTGCTACCCTCTTGAAGCTGAGGTTATACTGCAGAAGCTTCAAAGCAACCTAAGAAATCTCACTTTGCAAGCCATGTCTTCAAAAAGCTATAGCACCATGTTACCATACTCATTTTTAGAAGATGTCATCAGAAGACTTTTACTTCAGCTCAGTCCTCCATCTGGGGAACCTTCCTCTTTAGGAAAAACGTATGCAACCAGTTCCGATTTTAATGAAATGTCCACCTGCATAACAAATAAGGTGATGTCAGCCATTTCAAGACATAAGATCTGGTTTACTACCTATGAAAATCAATATCTCTCTTCAGAAAAGAATCTCCAAAAGATGGTAGATTCTGTTTATGGCAACATTTTACAAATGTCTGACTCTCTTGTTTCAATACAGAAAGATATGGCTAGCCGAAGTCCAATCATGATGGATCGCATAGCCAGTTTTATTATCCAAGAAATTATTGACTGTCATCTTCAGCCGTTTTTGTGTGGAGAGGTTTCCTCACGTCCAGGAAGTCCTCTGGATGCAGTCTCTAATATGGTTAAACAGGTTCTTAATGAGGTCCTAGAATCATGCAGACCCCAGAAGCCACCACCTGTAGGTATTTCTCCGGATGTATTCATAGGCGAGATGGTTGCCAAACTTCTCTCAAAGATTTTCAGCCCTAGGTCTAACACTGAATTTGAGCTGGAAAGCATGACACAAAGAATAATACACTCTGTGAATGAGTATTTTGACAAAGGTGGAATTCACATTTTATACAATGACAAGAAGTCTTTCCCCTGTATAGATACAGACGTCATAGATGAACTCGTCACCTCCGTTTATAGAGATGTGTTAAACCAGTACGGACTGGACCCTAATGTTAATAAAGAGACTGAAAATAGTGATTCATTTGTGGAAAATATAACTAATTTAATTGTAGCCGCTATTTCAAACTATCTTCTTCATCCATTGTTTTCTGGAGATCTGTCAACTTCATCTTATACCACATTGCTGGCTGAGAATATTGTTCAAGACGTCCTTAGTAATATAAGTCAATCAACTAGCTCAGACCAGAGTTTATCTCCATATAACACCTTACTGCCATATACATTCTTAGAAGATATGATCAGAGTACTATTATCACGATTCTTTCCTGCTGCACCTAGTGTGGTTTCATACAGGGAAACTCCACAAGATAAATCCGAAATGAATTATAATGAAATTGCTTCCAGCCTTATCAGTGATATTAGAATGAAAATTTCCCAACATGAAATTCAGTTTTCAAAAGAAAAAGAAGAAATCAAGTTTGCTTATTCAGAAGACGATGTTCAACATCTTGTTGACTCAGTATTCAACAATATTTTACAGAAATCTAAGTCCGAAGAATCAGTGGAGCAAAATAATATACATACCAATGATGTTCTTATTGATAAAATAGCAGCTTTCATCATTAAATATGTGTGTGAACAACATCTTCGGCCATTTTTGGATGCAAATTCATCCTCTTCCTCCTCCTCCTCTTCCTCCTCTTACACATATTTTGATGATAAGAGACAACAGTCATTTTTTTCCAGTGTTTATTCCTCGACTTTTTTGGAGGATGTTGTATCTGGGGTTTTAAGGAAAATATTCCACAGAGTATTTGGTGTTGTACAAATGGAAAGCATGAGAGATTCAGAGAATGAATTTTTTGATAAAGCTGAGAAACTCATACATTTGATAACAGAGGAATTCTCAAAAGCTCAAGTTACCGTTATAGAAAATGCTGAGCGACAGTTGAATTTGCTGCCAGTGGAGACAGATGTAGTAAAAACTATTATTGGCACAGCATACAGTAGAGTTTTGGATGAATACCAAATGGAAATCAAGCCTCAGAAAGATTTTCTAAGTGACACTGGGACACTGGCTTCTCGAATAACTAAAATCATCCTGACTGAAATTTTTGATTTCCAAATTCCTCCAGATCTTATTGCAAACTTGCCTTTTAAGTCTCATTCCAAACTCAGTGAAAATGTTTTGATACATAAAGTTCAACATGATATTACTAAGTCAAGATCCCGAAGACAGGCTTCAACAATGTATACTACTCTGTTATCACAAGACCATTTGGAAAAAATAGTCACTCAGCTTGTCTCACAAACATTGACATCTACCATAGAACACCCAGATACTGCTCAATCAGATGTAAATGATACAATCATAAAACTGATAAATGAAATCATGTCAATAATTTCAAAAAATGCAATATGCGTCACCAAACAGGGAAATAAAAATCAAAATACGATTTCAGAAAAAGATGTACAGTCTATGATTGATTCCATCTATGCTGATCTTGCTCATTCAGATATATACAAGTCTCTCACAAAAGATAAAAAAGACATGAATAACATACCTGTTTCAAAAATAGCAAGTTTTATAATAAAAGAAATTTTTAACCATCACCTACAGTCATTTTTATCTGGAGATAAACCTCTTCTTTCAGCTTCAGTTGATCAGATTTACGAAGAAAAAGCAAGAGATCCTAAACAAAAAAGATGGTCTTGCATTGTGAACTCGGCTGTCTTCTTGGAGGAAGTCATTGCTGAGCTTTTATGCAAAATTCTTCATGCATTCACACACAATGTCTTGGTTTTTGAAAGCACAGACACAGCAAAAGTCCAAATTACTAACATTGTTACAGCCTTAGTAAAATCAATTGTTGTAGAATTTAACACTTCAGAGATTAGAGTTGCAGATAACTTAGATAAAAACTTGTGCTTTTCAGAGGAGTATAAAGAAATGGTTCGAGAAACTGTCAACTTAATTTACAAAAAATTATTAGATGAATATAGTTCTTTAGTTCAAGTGTATAAAGCTATACAAAGTGATAGTACCTGTTTTGGAAGAAAAATATATCATTTGCTATTGGAGGAAATTTATGAGTATCAAGTGCAGTCATTAATTTCAGGAGAATTAGTGGCTTCTTGCTGTGCTTCCCTTCAAGCTGATAACATCATCAGAAATGTACTCAGCGTCATCTTGAGTGATAGATGTGCCAGGCCATCATTTGTTACTGTATTTCCTCATTCTCTTTTAGAAGACATGATTTCCAAGCTCCTGGTGCATATCTTCCCTCAGGCTGACACTGAAAACAAACTAACAGAAGAAGAGCTTACTCCAGATGAGAATTTTTCATTTGTAGCTTCAGATATGACTGATGAAATTATAAAAGAAATTTTTGAACATGAAATCCGACTTGCTACTGCAATGGAAAATGCAGAAAGTACGCAGTTAGAAGTCCTTGAAAATTTGGTTGATTCTGTATGTAATAATATTTTGAAAAAACCTGAATATCAGGCTGAAGTACAGAAAGATGCAGGCAGAAAAGAAGGACCATTTCTCAGTAAAATAGCTGGCTTCATTATGAAGGAAATTATGGATCATCATTTACAACCATTTTTACATGGCGAAGAATCATCTTCCAGTAACTCACCTGATTGTAACCATGCTTCTGTAGTTGCCAAATCTGGCAAAGAGACGTCACAGGTTTCTCTTTTTTCAGCTACATTTTTGGAAGATGTAGTGGTTGACCTTGTTCAGAAATTTTTTTCTTTCTCAGATAGTAAAGATTCTAAGAAAAGAACAACACCAGAGCCAGATATTGTGAGCTTAGCTGTCAAATTTGCAAATGCTCTCCTTGGAGAATTTAGAAAAAATGAAATTAAAGTCTTACCACAAGCTGAAGAAAAATTTTCTTTCCCACCAATTGCTAAAGAAATAGTTGCTGACATATCTAGTCATGTATATAATCAATTCATAGGGAAATTTGGATCTAATGATATTCAGAAGCATGATAAAAGTAACATTGTTGTAGAAATAATTGCTGCTTTAGCCCAGAAGGCAATCTCTGCATTCAAGATTCAACCACTATTCTCAGGAGACTGGTCTTCCACCTTCTTTTCATTTTTAAATCCAGACACCATAATGCAAAGGGTTCAGCACTTACCACAGGATACCTGTATGCAGATAGCTAGATACTCAAAAGAGAAGCAACTTACTTTACCAGAGCAATCATGTAAACAGACTTCCCTAAGCTCAGATCAGAAAAAGATGATAGTTCGTTTGGAACAAAATAGAGGTGCAATGAACAGAAAGAATTTCCACATTAAAGAACTCTCAGTGAAAAAAGAAGACATCCCAAATCCAATGCTTATCCCTGTCCCTACCATTATGGAAAGTAACAGGATTCCCATAATGTCAGGCTCATCTGGAGGTATGGCACATACAAAGAAAGAGGACAAAAAGAAACTGAGTATTTCAACTCCAAAAAATAATAAGAGTGCATCAAAAGTTACTTCTCCAGCTACCACGGAAAGTAAGAAGGAGCAAGATTTGAAAAAACCAGGTAAAAATCATGCAGTTGAAAGGAAAAAACAATCAATTCCCAAAAAGGAGTCACAGGGTAGTAAAATGCAAACATTTTCTCCAGTTGTTCCTGATGCAGAACGAAAGGCTGCAGTGCCCCAGTCAGATCCTCCAATAGACAAGGATAAGAAAAGGGACAATATCAAGGAAAGTTCAATACAAGAAAATAATCAGGACTTTCAGTTGTCTCCTTGGAAGCCCAGGATGAAAAGTACTGAGACTACAACAGAGAATACTTTGAAAATCATGAAAAAGCCAACAAATGAGGAAATGATAGACTCTTCTACTGAAACAGATATGGGAGATATAATCTTCTCAGATTATGAAACCGTTCAAAACATCATTGAAAATATTTATGGGAATGTTTTAGAAAGGTCTTCTCTTCAAGAACCATCAGATGTTTCAACATACAGATACAGCAAAAGCTTCCCAGGTAATAAAGCACTGATTATAATTCAGGAGCCTGCCAAGGAGTCTGACCAGTTTGTTAGGCCACGGAGCTTATCTTCGGTTAACAAAAAGGACTACGTTGAAGAGGCAGAAAAGAATGAGACAGAGAGACAAAACAAGAAAGAAAAAGAAAGTGAGAAAGAAAAAGAAAAAACTACAGAAAAAGAGAAAGGAAGAGAAAAGAAGGTTGAGAGTAAAACCACTCAGCCTCACTACCTACCAGAAAGTAAACCTAGAATTTTTCCTACTGATTTTTTAGATGACGTTATCATTGAAATAGTTAAAGAACTGATGTTTTCTTCCTCACCAGAAATGGAAATGTGTGAACAAAGTCCAAAGGTAAATGGGTATCAGAATCAGTCTGAACTCTATGACACAGCTGTGAAACTTACCCATTCGCTGAAAAAAGAGTTTTCAGATGTTCAAGTCAAGATGTTATTTGGGCACAATGAGAGACATCAGTTTTTCCCACATACAAGTAAAGTGTCTTCGATTCCTGTAGCACCTTCCAAAAATAAGGCATCAAATACACACAAAACGTCATCAAGCATTAAGATAAAAAGTATGGATAAAATGCCAAATGTACCTGACAAACTCTCTCCCCCTGAGATACCTTTCCTAGATGAATTACCATTAATAGACAAAACACTGGTCAATAAAGTTGCTCACTCCTCTATTTGCAATATTTTGAAAGAATATAGAACTCAAGAAGCTCTTTATCAGGACATTAAAAATAATGAAGACAATTTAGTAAAAAGGTTAACTAGTGGAGTGATAAATGAACTTTTTCAACGTCAGCTTAACTTGCTATTTGGTGATGAGGTTCCAATTTTAGCAGGTTTGCCTCTGGACTCTAAAGATCTTGTTAAAAAGATCGAAAAACTGCCCCAAACAGCCAGTAAAGAATGTCAGACAACATCACCATATACTGTAATGTTGCCTCATCAATTTTTAGAGGATGTGATATCTACCCTTTTATCAAAAATTTTCTCAAAAATATCCAACACCATCACCAAAAGAGAAACATCTGAGGACAAAGTTTCCACAGAACTTGATTTCCTTCAAATGGAGTTAGTAAGTAAAATTGCTGCAGAGATTTCCAATGATGAAGATATGATTGTAGAGTACGTAGAATCCTTGCATCCCAATGATGAGGAAATTATTGAATTGGTGGTTCAATCCATTTATAACAATCTTTTGCCACAATTTGGATCCCAAGAAATCATACAAAACTGTATATCAAACGGATGCAGGCATCTCTCCAAAGCCATCATTGATCTAGTTCTAAGAGAAGTGGCTGGCAATCAGTTGCAGAACTACTTTTGTGGGGAGTTAACTCCATATCAGTGTGCAGAAGTTGACAGTGTAGTTGAAAATATCCTTTCCAGTGTCCTCCAGACTACTTCGACTCGACCAGCACAGGCTCCTAAAGTGTCTTCCAAGATCATAGAAGAAATTGCTGTGAAATTTCTATCAAAGCTCTTATCTGTGTTTCCAAAAGTGCATAAGAAAAGAACCAAATCTCCAGAAACTGAAATGCAAAAAATAAGCTCAAAAATACTAAATTCATTCCAAGAATTTATCTCCAGAAGTAAGATCAAACTTACAAAATCTGCCACGGAATCACCTACTGTATCTTCAGATGACAGTGAAACTATTGAAAACATAGTTAATTCTGTTTATACCAGTATTTTAAAACACTCTGGTTCCCATACTTCTGTATTTAAAGACTTAATGGGTCAGAGTAATGTCCTTTCTGACATAATAGGTTTTTTAATGGTGAAGGAAATTTACAATTCTGAGTTTCAACCTCAAGTAGAAGAAGAAATATCAAGTTCAGAACTAATTCTGGAAGCTGTCAAAATTATGGAAAAAGTGGTCAAAATTGTTGATAAATTAAAGTCCCAGGAAGACTTTTCATCTGAGAAATGTTCTATGTTAGATACGAAGGTTTTAGAGGAAGCATTGGCCTTGTTCTTGGCTAAACTCGTAAGATTACCTCGTGCCTCACAGCAAGATACAGACTCCTTATCAAAATCTGAGTTGAATAAGGTCGCATCACAACTGACAAAATCTGTAACAGCTGAAGTTTCTAAAAGTAATATTAGTCTAGTATCTAGTGAACCTGAAGAATCCTCTTCAAATCAAGAAGAAATGGACATGATTTTCCAGGTTGTTGATTCTGTTTATAGTAATATTCTTCAACAATCTGGAAGCCATGAAGAACTTCATGACATAAAAGATACAGACACAGTCCTCTCTAAGGTAGCCAGTTTAATTATCGATGGAGTTTCAAAAGTTCCATTAGATATGGTTACCTCCACAAGCTCAATCAGTGGTATCTTTCAGGATCTGGACATTGATAGAATCATTGAAAAGACAGAAAAGCACGCTAAGAAAATGATGGATGACAAAAAGTCAAGAGAAGATAGATCCAGAGAAGAATGTACAGTTGTAATAATTCCACATGTCGGAAGGAAAGCAATCAAAGTGGACCCCCAGATTATTTCCCAGCACTTAGCAGTCATCTCTGTAAAGACTGAACCACTTGAAAAAATGAAATTAGAATGTTTAAGAAGAACTGGGCATAGCATAGAGGAGCTGAGACGAGCATCTATAGATGGGCGAAGTTTGGCTGCCACAAGCCCAGCTGTTTCAGAAAACAGAAAGAAAGAAAGACGTACCTCGCTCAATAGTACAGGTCGACTGGACATAAAACCCTATGAGGTAAGTGCAGAGTCTGTGCTAGAAAAATAAGGGACGCTGAGGCTTGGTTTTATAATTTCTTCCCTCAAATAGTTGTATGGGAATGCATGTTTGTAGCTGTTGCCATTCCTGACTCTAAAAGAAACATAATCTTGTATCATTCCATTCGTTCTTCATTATAGCTATTGAAAAATATTCAAGATAGGGCAGTTAATAGAGCATCAGGATGCATGAGACTATCTATCTAAAATAATTTTAGTTCCTGCATTTAAAGCTCCACAGCTGTGTTCTTTTTCTTTAATAACATTGATATACAAGGAGTAGCCTGAAAACTTTAAAGTGCGTTTGCTATTATGATGTAAATTGAATTACTGATGTTTCTCATTTACTGTATGCTCTTAGAATTATCCAGTTTTCTTTGTTTTCTACCATTGTTCTACACCCAGATTCCTGCTTGATTTAGATACAGCTGTGCCCTATCACCCTGTACCCAAGCCATGAATAAGTCACATTAACTGAGACTTCAAAATGTCAAAAATTATTTTGTTTCTTAGAAAACCACGAGTGAAGAAAACAAAATCATCTGGCCCACCTACCAAGTAATAGTAATCCATTACTCATGTTAATTTTTATTTTAAAGCATCTCCTGTTGGTGATGGGCTTTTGCTGAGTGGTCAGTGTGTGCTGAGAGGGACAGTTGGTGGCCTGGAGATGGCCTAAACAGAGTGTTCCCCAACCATGTTCCTCAGAAGATAACCCAGGAATGAATCTTTTCAAGCACTGTCATGCATCCCATTGAACTAAGTCTCAAGACTCATACATACGTTAATTACTTTAACATACATACATAGGTTAATTACTTTATATTGTAAAACTCAGATACTGAGATTGGTGTGAACTGAGCCTCCTTTAGTAATCTTTATCTTTAGTGTTTTGGACCATACAATGATGATGGTGCCTTCCAGCTTTAAAATTCCTCTTTCCTCTAGGTTGCCATTACACTGGCATAAGTTTAGTGGTATTCAATTATATATAAATAATTACTTGGAAGTAAAATTGTTGTGAAAATGTTATAGAACACAATTACTCAAAATCAGTTGTAAGTTATAGAATTGTTTGTAACAAATCCTACTGCTAGATAGAATTTGTAGTATCTTGTAAAGATTTTTGTGAAGCATATGGGAAACAGGAAGTGAGCTTCTCAACAAGAACAATCACCTGTGTCTTTTTAAGGGCAAGAAAAGCAAACTTAGTAATGGGGAGAGGGAAGCAGCTGCCACAGGTAAGTCAGTTAGGCGTATAAAATTCATGCAGAAACCTGCATACAAGTGTGGTTTGCTCTTAACAAAGGCAAACACAAGTAAAAGACAAAAAGAGAAAAAGATTAAATGCTAGTCTGCACACTTTTTACTTTTCCTGAGAATTTATTCTCTGCTCTGAAATACTACAAATTCTCAACTTTTCAGACATTTGCATAGTAAAAATAATGCCATAAAAATGCCAAAGCCATGGGGAGTTTCAGAATTTCTAGATCATTGTTTTCTATACTATAATGGATAATCAAAGTTTATTGTTTGGATCTTTTAAAAGAATTACTATGAATAATTTGTTTCCACAGAGGAAATACCATAAGCCATCATTATCTAAAAAGCTATCTTGCAAAGTCACAAAGGAAGATTGAGTCTAAAATTATTAAGTGCTCAGGTTCTGATACATGGTTAAAGCCATTAAGGATTGGGCACTTCTGTTATTTAGTTATGAGTTTTGTCTTTGATGCTTCTTTAACATTGAAGATGGAAGTGACTATTTGACCAGGGAAATGAGAAGACATGAAGATTTATGCTTTCAAGAATGTCTTGGGCAATATTTGTGAAAGATCAAGAGTGAAAAGTTATGAAGTAAAAACTCAGATTCCACACATTTGGCTACTCATTTTTATAAATGACAATCAGGAAACATCTTACTTATTTTCATAAAAAAAAAAAAATATATATATATATATATATATATATATTTAAATTTCTCTATGATTAAATTCTTAGGATTAAAAATGCTGTTATCTGCTTCTATCACAAAATTTCACTAATACAGTTATTTTCAAAAAAATATAAAGTTTAAGCAAAATAGAATCCATATTAAAGTTGATTTTGCAATATAATATGAATGTGAAAAATGCTAAGTATCAGAAAATTATGTTTTTTGTGTCTTTTTCAAAAATACTACTGATATATCATTCAATGGCCTTTTAAGATTTTACTTAAATTGAGCAAATCATAAGAAAATAACTGTCTCATAATGGTCATAGAGGAAAAGTGATTGAAGTGTTCCTGTTTAATATTCATTGCACCTTCAATTTCAGGCTGTTTGCAGAAATTCATTTCAAAATATAAGAAAGCCTGATATCTCCAAAGTAGAGCTTCTAAAAGATGTCCAAAACAGAAAAGACCTCATCATTCGGTTAGTGGCTCATGATATTTATCAGGAAGATGAAGAGGCTTTTACTGAAGGTGATACAATGTATGATGAAAATGAAGTTGTTTTAGGAGAGTATTTTGGACTAAGGACCATAGGAGAACTGTCTGAAGATGAAGTCAAAGGAGTCATGAAGCTGATGCAAAGAAGAGGTATTTCTTCTATACCAACAGCCACCACAAGCCGCTCTCAGTCCACATCCACCTCAGATGCTCAGGGTGTGCGAGGAACCTCAAACCAAACAGAACCCATCAAGACACAACTTAGCAGAATTGCTGGTGAGTGCAGCATGACTACCTCCACAGTCTTGACTGAAACACCTGCTTCCACAAATAAAACGTCACATCAGAAGGTAAGTGACTGCCACTGACAAAAAAGAGTAGAGAATTTCACAAAGTGTATGTAACAATATACCTTGGTTAGGCAGAAAGAGATATCAAAATACATTATTTGTCCTCCTAAGGCTCTAAATATTTATAAAGTATGTAAAATAAGATACACTTATGAAACTCAACTAAGGGAATGAAGATAATGCTAAGAAACCCAGATAAGTGAAAAGTTGAAGGGAAAATAGAAAATGGAATCCAATTAAGAGAAATATAAGGTAATTACTTAAAATTACATATTCCAGCCATTTTATATTTGGGCTGCTCATTGAACATTACTTAGAGTCTCATACAAAGGGGTGGGATCTTAAAGCTGGTTAAGTTAAGAAAAAGTTTTGAAAGTCCGTAGAAATTGACATTATTGCCGAACAACCACCATAGTACAAAAGAAAGATAGAAATAACTTAAAAGAGGGAGGAAGGGATATTAGATGTGTGTCCTAATGAGATTGTAGTCTTAATAGGCTGCAATCTTTGGACACATTGCATAGCTAAGTATTTTTCTTAAATAATGGTCTGCCATCTTATTGAAATGATTTTAACATTACACTTCCTCTCTCACTGTCCTGAGCAGTTCTTCTTAAAGGCTCCAAAACCTCAGAGGACACTCTGGGCTTTAGTGGCTTTTGGGTTTATCCTTGTCTGAAAATATGTTCTGTTCCTATTTTTGTAGAATATATAATTTGGATTCCCTGATGAGACAGCTTTGAACTGATCATTCACTTGATGTGATTCTCAGGTTAACACAAAAACTGAGAAGAACTAGAGTAAACAAACAGATATAACTTTACTTAATTCTGGTTCATGTATTTTCCCAACATATAGACCAGACTATGTGTTGTGATTGAACTTGTAAGTTTCCAAATTGTTTAGTTATATCTCTGTTGTTCTTATTTTTAAACTTAGTAAAGTATGATGAAAAGATATGTGAAGTTTAGAAATAGAAAATTATTTTCTTCAAACATTTTACTAAGTTTATGCTTAAAAATCTATTCAAAATTCAGTTTCATAATTTAGAATACCTTAACTGATCATCTCAAAAGAACTACATTAGAAAAGACATTTCAATTAGAACTGCAGAGTTCATTCATCTTTAAAGTAATCTCTGAAACTTTCTTTCATTAAAGTATGGGTTAGACTGCAAAAAATCTAATAACATGAGCAATAAGATTCACTAAGATGCCCATTCTGGTTTATTATCTCCTTTGGAAGTCCTATAATGTTTACAATGTTTAGGTTTTATTGGTCTTGTTCTCTACTGTTTTGTTCAACTTTATAATACCTAATAAGATAGACAATTTTTTTAAGGAAGCAAGAGGCATTATGGTAACCATTGTTGATAACCTTGTACTCTGTTTTTACATCTTGCGCTATGTCTATCCTTGGTTTTGACTGACAGCTTTGTTTTGCCATATTTGACTTTATTCTCTTCCAAAAAAAAGTAATAAGAACTAAGGAGTAATAATAGCCAAAATGTGTAAATTTTGTTGTAAAACAGAGGGGGAAAAGTGCTCTAAAGGATACAACTGCAAGTGTGTTTAAGGGTGTTAAATAGATGACCACATTAATGTTTTTGGTTGGATCATTGAACACAACTGTTTGCAGTCTCTCTGTTTGAATGTTCACTTTGTATGCTTTGATACTGTGACTTGAGCAACTGTCTCTAGGATGATAATGTGTAATCTATGAACTGGTGATTTCTTACTGGTTTTTTGTTTTTGTTTTTGTAGTTCTGTATTTCTTGTACCCTTATACCGCTTGTTTTGTTTTGTTTTTTCTTTTTCCTTTTAAATAAAATTTTTGAAAAAAGTACATACTTTGTATTACTACTTTGTGTAATGCCTGATTTTCAAATCTGCAGAAAGAAGAAAATGTTGCTACTGAACCAACACACCACTTCATACACAGAATTATGAGTACATCTTCCTACAACCAAGAAGATCTCTTATCATCTTCCAGGTAAATGAAATAAAGCAATACAAACGTAGAACTCTGAGTGTAGCACTTCTGAGAAGAATGAGGTGCCTGGTAAAGCTGTAACAGTGTATGTGTTCAGCCTCAGACCATCTCTTCCCTGCCATTCCACCGTCTCTGGCTCCTCTTCACTTATGACAACCCCTCAAGTATTCCTTCTCTTTTGCATGTTGTAAGTACTTATAAGCAAGGCATAGTTTTGTTATTTTTTACTTTTATTTTTCCCATATTTCTTCCTAAGAATATATATGATATATTTAAAATTCCAAATAAAAGTTAATCATTGCTTTTGTATATATGATATCATACATAGGCATGTCAGATTGACCATACGCAAGAGCTGTATATCGTGTTTCAAACAAAAATTTTCTACCAGGATATTAAGTATTTCCAACCTTCTTAGCTTCCCTCGATCTCTAATTGTACCTGCTCCTCTTTTCTTTCTCCTTCCAACCCTGCAAATATGCTCTCAAGCCCTCTTTCTACTGCTCTGGATATTAAAAGTCCTATCTTTTTTTCTTTCTTCTTCTATTATCTCTTTTCTTTACTTCTTTCTGAACATTTTTCTTCTTTCTTTTTCCTTTTCTCATACACATTGTAACCTACTTTTTATCAGTACTAATCCATTGTCATCTTTAGTTATTACATAAAATGTGCATTTGTTAAAACAAGTTGCTAGTTAAATGTTGATACATAGTTAGTTCTGTAGATGTTGATACAACTGAACTGATCCTAAGACATTGAATAGGTGAATCAATACTAAAGCATAGGCAAGCCCAAGGTTATACAACAAAGAAAGAACCATTGAATATGGAGATTCCACAGTATTGACAGAGCTTTTTGTAATTGATCTTCAACTTCTAGTACACAGACTCTAGAAATATGGGAAAATAAAGCAGAAAGATATTTCCAAATAGTCTTAACTATCCATAAACTGCCCTCTGTGGCACTGAAAGGAAGCAATTTTCAGATAAAGATTTTACAAAACAAATTCTAAAATATTTAAAGAGATCAAGTGATGTGTCAGGCAAATAATGGGATGTTCAGTGAGCTCAAAGAAGATATAAATAGTTGAATGTCTCTATTTAAAAAGCTGATAAATGAGATTAAAGAAGACACAAAGACATGAATGAACACTTTAGTAAATTATAGCGATTTCAAAAAGCAATCACACAAAAATTTTGGAAATAAAAAATAAAGTTCAAAACCATGGATGTAAATACAAACAATCAAAGGAGAAAACATCAGGATTTGAAGACTAAAATGTAGATAGTGATACTATAAACAGTAAACCATGAGAGATTAATTAAAGAGGTCCCAGATGACTCTAAAGGAATAAACCTAAAAATTACAGATATCAAGAAGAACTGCAAAAAGAAAATTCATGGTTTTAATCAAAAATAGCCTTCAAAGCTTCAAGTTTTTGGAATGTGATTGAATTTTGGTGTACTATATCTGACTTGATGTTCACAGGGGACTGGTCAGAAGAGGTGGGTCACTGAGGCCATAACCCGGAAGCATATATCTCAATATCCATCTCCTTTCTTAACCTTCTCTACTTGCTGGCTGTCATGATGTGAGCTGCTCTACTCTACTCAGGCCATTCTATCATGCTGCTGCGGACACAGGGACTGATGTATCTAAGATATGAGCCACATAAAGCTCTTCACCTTCTAAAAAGAATACAGGTGTTGGATATTTTATCCCAGCAATGCACAACGTGACTAAGACAGATTTTATACCAGAAGAGGGATCATTGCTGTGATATGGATCATGTTTTTCAGAAACTTTTTGGAACTGGTTCCTAGAAGGAGTTTGGAAAATGTTGGAGATGCCAACTAGAGAGAAGCATTAGAATGTTGTGAACTGAGCTTAACAGGAATTTCAGCTTAGGGCTCAGAAGAATACTACATTCATAAAAAGACAGACAATAAGGACCAGGCTAGGAGTCCAAAGATGGGAGCAAAGACTTCACTGAAAATTGAACTGGCAACCTATATTAATTGTTCTCTGGCAGAAAATTTGTCTGTATTTTTCTCATGTCCTGAGACTTTGCAGAAGTCTGATGATACTAAGAACAGTGGGCTAACTTGGTTCAAGGCAGCCCAACATTTAGGGTGTGATATGGCTATTTTTGGTGGATTTTAGGTAGGTATATAGTGAAAATAAGGAGCAAAATGACCATTTAGAACATTTTCAGTTTTGTCAGAAGAGAGTGCACACAAAGATGGAGCAGAGGAAAGCTTGACTGCTGAAAGATTAGTACTCAAGCAAAATCAAGTACTTTCAATCAGGAAAATAAGAAAATGGTTTTTAAGGCATTTTAAAGAATCAGGGAGACTCTTTAATTTGTAGGCTCAAAGGTACAAAGCTAAATTTTGTGAAGAGAGTCACATAGCACAGTGCTTGAGGAGGATTGACTAAGAAACTGATTCCCCAGGATTTAGTTCATAGTGCTGTTATCCAGGTTCTTAGAGGCTTCATCAACCATGACTTAAGGGGACCTGGATACTGTGCAAGCTGTCAGAAGTCCTTGCTGTCATTCACATGGTACAGGCATGCACAATGCAAGAGCTAAGGGGTCAGAAGATCTTCCAACCAGATTTCAGAAGAAGGACTGTTAGACCAGGCCTCTGAAAATGCATAAAGCTGTGAAAGTAAGATTGAAAGTATGATCTCCAGAAAATTGCAAAAGCCAGAAACATGAAATGTCTGAGGAAAGCCATAACAATTAAGCATATCCTAGCCCATGAGAGAAATCATGAAGGCTACAACCACCAGCAGCCGTATAGGGGTGGAGTTACCTAAGCCCATTAGAATTTCTATCTCACCACAGCTTTCCCTGGAAGCTAGACATGGTGCTAGAAGATTTAATGAATGCCTTCCTGTGTTTTGGTCTTGCTTTGGTCCTGCTGCATTCTACACCCTTTTTACCTCCCTTTTGGGGCAGGAATGTTTACCTGTTGTCGTATGTTAGAATGTTTAATTTTCATAAGGACTCACAGCCAAAACTTTTCTCAGAAGGAGAAAGGAGGCTTCAGATTTAGAATTTTAAGCAATGCTGAACTGTTCAAATTTGGCAGCTCCTAGAGATGGGCTGAGTGGATTTTTCCTGAATAGATTTGCGTGTGTCTTTTGGGAACCAGGGGAGGAATGCTATCCTGTGGATCTACAGTGGAGCTCCAAAGCCTTGTCTATTAGGAAGGTGATTTGATTATGGAAGCACGATAGCTGAGTGTTCTGTTAAGAGGTGTGCTGTGGTCAAAAGATCCAGGTATCTGTGGGCATGCCCTGGAAAGTTGTGTCTCCCTTCTCTTAGCCTCCTTCCTCCTCTCTGCTTCCTGGCTGCTTTGGGGTGAGTAACATTCCTCCCAGACCCCTTCAGCCATGCTGCCAAGAATGCAAGGACTAAAACTTCTACAGTGTAAACTGAAGTAAATCTTCCCTTGCTTAAATTTGTAGGTGTTAGATATTTTGTCCCAGCAACAAAGAAAGTAACTAAGACAGAAACTAAATTTATAAAAATTTTATATCTCAGAATCACTGAAGAGAACTTTCCAAGTCTAGGAATTGAAATGCTCACCATGGTAAATGGAGCATATATAACTCCAAATAGACATGCTCAGAAAAACTCTTCCCACAACAAATCATGCTTAAAAGCCAGAAGGGCATGGAGTGAAGCTTTTCAAGTTCTGAAAGGAAGCAATTGATAAACTACATTATTATATATTACAAAATTATTCTTCAAAATGGATGGAAAAATAAAAATCTCTCATGACAAAGAGTACCTAACAAAATTCATGACCACTAATTCAAGAGAATTCTAAAGATAGACCATGAAGCTAATATCAAAAAAGGGTTTCAAAAAGAGAGTACATTTAATTGAGTAGTTAAACAAAAAGAAAATACAAAAGAATCAGAACCAAAGAAATAATAAAATGATGAAAATTGATAAATATGTCTCAGTATTAGCACCTAGTGTGAACAGAATTGAATAAACAATTAAAAAGAATATGAGTTATGATGAATTTATCTTCATCCTAGAGTTGCAAGTGTGTACCACATACATAATCAATAAATATAGTACCCCATTAAGTAACATTAGGGGAAATAATTATATGACCATCTGAATAGCTGTAGGAAAAATCTTGGAGAGAATCCCACATACATTCATTATAAAAAATCCCTGACAAAATTAGGTATTGAAAAACCTTACATCAGACTAATAAAAGGCATTGTGACAAACTGATAGCGTCATACAACATGGGAAAAAGTGAAAGAATTTCTTATAAAAGCAAGAACAAACCAAACATCGTTATTTTCATTCTACTGTTCAGTAGAATACTCAAAAGTTTAGCCACAGCAGTCAGGGAAGAGAGAGAAATAAAAGTGATATGGATAAGAAAGGAAGGCATCTCACTATATTTAACTGCAGACAATAAGTTCCTTTTCACTGAAAATTCAAAAAGCTGCAGAAGAAAACCCTTAGAGCTAGTAAAGAAGTTCAGCAAGGTAGCAGCATACATAATCAACACATACAAAAAACAAAGAGCATTTCTATAAACCACCAATAAAGAACCTACCATGAAAGAAATTGGCATCCCAGTTCCAATCATGTAGCAAAAAAAAAAAAAAAAAAAAAAAAACAACTAAATACCTAAGAATCAACCTAAAAAAGTGAAAAAAAAAAAAAACCTATAATAAAATATCAAGTACTTGGAAGAAACAGATTGAAAAAGACATGAGAAAATGGAAGGAGTCTCATGTTCTTAGATATGTAGAATTGATATTATCAAATGACTACTTACTACAAATTATATACTGATTGAATGTAATCTCAATCTAACTGCCATCATTATGTTTTATGGAAGTAGAACAAAATCTCGAATTTGTATGAGCTAACGGAAACCTAGAATAGCTAAATTGACCATAAACAAAGCAGAGTGTATTACAGTTCAAAAATTCAAGTTAGATTACAAAGCTATACTAATAAATTCATCATATTATTGTCCCAAAAAATAGACATGCAGACCAGTACAACATACTAGGAGGACACATAAGCAGCCCTACACACTGTCATCCATCTGATCTGTTACAAAAACAATTGCTGGGAAAAGATGACGTCTTTAACCAGTGGTGCTGGGAAAACGGGTTACTCACTTGAGGAAGAATGAATCTGGATCCCTACATACTATCCTGTGCTAACAGCAAATCAAAATGATTACGCAAAAGTCATGATTTAAATGAGAAGAGGTATATTTGGGTTCACAGTTTGTAGAGGTTTCAATCCACAGTCCCCTTGCTTCATGTCAGGATGGTTTTGAAGACAGCATAGCAGAAGAGGCAGGAAGAGAGTCAGATGGGGGGAAAGAGGACAGGAGACGAGAAAAGGCCAAGCAAGGAGGGGGGAAATGCACCCTTTCAGGCCATGCCCCCAGTGACCCACCTCTTCTGACTATACCACACTTCCCAATAACACATTCAGGAATAAACTCATCAGCTCCAAAGTGATACTCATTCCCCCCTGATCAAGTCACCTCTCAAAAGTCCCACCTATGAGCACATGAGGCTTTTAAGGTACATTAAAACATAAAGCACAAATGACCTAGATATAAAAACAGAAATATTGAATGTGCTAGTATATGAAATATGGGAAACAACTGAAGACCTAAGCAGGCAAGTATTTACTGGAAAAAAACCCTAATTGCACAAGAATTAATACCAAGAATCAGCAAATAATGTTGTGTTATATTGAGAAGCCCAAGGCAATTAAGAAAGTAATGAGCCAACCTATAGACTATAAAAAGATTTTTGCCATCTATTCTTGTGACAGAAGATTATTATGTCAAATATATAAGGAACTCAAAAACATTCCAAAATGCCCAAAATAACAAAATATGCCCAATGGTAGAATGAGATGCATAGATATTTTTCAAATGAAGAAGTACAAATGACCCACTAAGTACATGAAAACAATTCAGCATCTTTGGCTATCAGGGAAATATAGTATAATCTACACTGAGATTCTGTTTTGTTGCAGTTCATACTGGCTTTATTTAAAAGTCAGAAAAGAAAAGGGCATTCAAAGAGGGAGGAGGAGAATAAAATGTACACAGATGGTGTGATTTGCAGATTATAAGATTTTATAAGAAGAATCCTAAAGTGTCCTTCCAAATCTTATGAGAACTAATAAAAGAAGTTAGCAAAATAGCAAGGTACTAAATTTAATATACATAAATTTCATATATATGTGTGTATATACATATATATATATATATATATATATATATATCCACGTACATTACTTTCTACCAGAACAAAGTATTAAGAATGAACTTTAGAAACCAAGCAAAATACTTACACGCTAGAAATTAAGAGGCCACAAATAAGTAGATTGGAGAATTTAATATTGTTCCAGGGCCAGGTCTGTCCTGAGTGGTTTACAGAATCAAAGAAATTCTTTCACCCCCAAAATAACTAGTTTTACAAAGAGAAATATTTATTGTAAAGTTTATTGGAAAATCAAGAGACCCTTAAAAGCCAAAGAATCTTGAAAAATAACATTGGAGATCTCTCACTTCCTGATTTTAAAACTTAACAACAACAACAACAAGAACAACAACAAAAAAAAACGAGTTCACAAAAAATGCAGTACAGATGTAGTAAACACCTCAGAGGTAAACCTTTCAGTATATGCTCAAGTATTTTTGACAAGGGTACCAGAACTATTTGATGGGAAAAAGATGGGCTTTTCAACAAATGGTGCTAGGAAAAATTATATATCAAAATACAAAACAACAAACAATAGGAACAAAGATAAAGTTGGACTATTACTTTGATATCATATTAAATTATATGTAACTGAATCAAATATTCAAGCATCAGGCTAACAACTTTTTAAAAAGCTGTAGAAGAAAAGTTGATGACATTGGATTTGGCAATAACTTTTTTGTATGTGACACCAAAAGTGCATCCAAAAAAAAAAAAAAAAAGCCAGGCAGTTTTATTTCATCAAAATTAAAAATTTCTGTGTTTCAAAGAACCCTGTCAACAACCTGAAAAGTCAACACACGGAGTGAGAGAAAATATTTTCAAATCATATATCTTTTAAGGGACTGATATTGAAATATAAAGATGTTGCAAAAAGAGCATCAGGAACAACCTGAGTGCAAAAAAAAATTGTACAAGCAACTTGAATAAAAAATTCTCCAGAGATGACTAACCTCACTATTTACCAGGAAAATGCATATGGGAACCACAAGGAAAGACTCTTCTAAACTCATTGCGTTAGCATGGGGAAGAAACACAGAGGAGCAAGGAAAGAAAAAGAGAGAAAGAAAATAAACTTTAGTTGAGGATGTAAAGAAACTGGAACCTTCATGCACTGAAGATATGAATATAAAATGGTGCAAAAACTGCAGAAAACACTGTGGCTGCCTCAAGAAATTAGGCATTGGATTAGCATAACGTCCAATACCGTATTTTCACTTCTGAGCATATATTCAGAAGAACTGAAATCAGAGACTGCAATGGGTATTTATATCCCTACTTATATTCATAGTAGCATCATTCACTAAAAACAGTGGAAGCAACCCAAGTGAATTCAAAGGAAAAATAGATAAGCAAAATATGTCATATGTACTCAAGATATTATGATCCAGTCTTAATACGAAAGGAACGTGTAACACGTGCTACAACATGCACAAAACCTTGTGGCATTATGCAAATTGCAATGTCAGTCACAAATGGTCAGAAACTGCATGATTCTATTTTTATAATGTCCCCAGTAGTGAAACTCACAGAGATAGAAAGTAGAATAGTGGCTTCCAGTAGCTGAGCAGACAGGAAAACGGGTGATGAATGCTTAGCTGTTGCAGTGTCAAGCAGGGAAGATGAAAATGTTCCTGAGGTGCATCGTAGGCATGGGTTGTTGCACAACAGTGTGAATATACTTCCTCTTCCAGACCGGACGCTTACAGTGGTTAAGCTGGTGAATCCGATGTGTAGTTCATCACAGATTTAAAGTCAGAAACAGCAGCGCTGAAATCATTTTCAGATGTTTGAAACTTCAGCAATACTGTATCGCAGATTTGCTTCTATATGAAGAATGACTGATTACACTTCTGCCTTGCAAGTGATTTGTTCATCTATTAATTACAAAAATAGAAAAATCATATCTTGTTTCTTTTGTTTCAGTGAGGAAGAAGATTCAAATGCAATTTCAAGCCCAAAGATATTGAAAGGTTGGATATTTTTCTCAGTTTTAGAAAATATATAAATGGAACTTTACTTGCTACTTTGGTAACTTAGTTTTGTCCTTTGATAAATTTTTAGATGTCAGATTTGAAATTAATTCTATTTTTTCCTTGCGGTTTGTGTACTGTTGGAAACTGATCAGTATCACATCACTCAGGTGTCAAAATAGGCAAAATACTTTGCCTTGTCTGCATTGCTATTCATACTTTATTAATGTATTCAATATCAAATGTTGTGTATTGTAGACATTATAACACTTTGTGAGACAAAAATAGGGCATATTGTCTTGCTAGTTTGAGTATGGGGCAGAACCCATTATCTTGGATTATCATTGTTTCTTCCAAAAGCTGTTCTTCTGTGCTCCATATTTCGGCCCTACTGAAGTATACAAAAGGCTTTTGAAAACTAAACCAATCTAAGAAGGACCTTCTTTTCTTTAAGTACTTATTTTTATTGGCTCCTTAGAATATCCGTTAGGAAATGTTAATCCTCTATTCGAAGCGAAGAGGACAAGTGTGACTCTAACAATGACAGTACGTGAAAAACGTAGACTGTCGTATGTTCTGGAAACTCAAACCGCGTTTCATCATGACTATTTTTCAAAAGAAATATGTTCCTGGCTTGACAATGAAAGTCACTTTCATTAAGATGATCCATAGAGTTATACACATAATTCAGAGAACAGCGGTGCGTGTGCACAGATTCCCAGAATGTGCCACAGCTGTAGGAATCACAACAGACACTGTTTCAGCACTAGGAAATAGTGAGCGGTCAGACCAGGCAGGAGCCGCAGACAGTGCTGGCCTCTCACCGACTTCCTTGCTGTCCATCGTACATCCTGAGCATTGGGGACCTTTACACCTGCCGCTGCCCCTGTAGCTTTCCCATCTCGGTCTTCATTGCTCATTCCTCACTCGAAGACCTTCCCGCAGATGGAACTTTTCAGAGCGGCCTCTTCTGAGGCCTCACTCTCTCTGAGACTATAGTTATTTCCCGTCGTGGCTCTCCCTGTCCCTCTCCTTTGTTCCCTGACACTTCTCAGTTGTTTGACTTTGACCATCTCTCTAGATTGTAAGCTCCATGAAGTGGGGATTTGTGTCTTTCACAGCTGTGTTTCCCACAGCCCAAAACAGGCCATTAGCGTGTGATGCACCAAAGGCACGTGGGGAGCTAGGGGACCGTCGTAGGAACTCAGGAGGTGGAATGGTACATGGGATACACTTGGGGTGCTGATACTGAGGTACCCATTAAATGCTCAAGCTGACCTGTCACTAAACAAACAGACGTTTTAGTCTGCTTTTACTTAGGGGTGTACAAAGGTTATAAGAATTGGAAGGGCCCTCAGGAACCATCTTCAGGGGTAATTTCTTATTAGGGTATAAAGTTCATGCAGAGTGAATGAATGGTTTTGCATAAAGATGTAGCTACCAAGTTATACAATGTGCTTTTCCCTGCAAAACCCTTTTTGTTACTTTATAGATCAAGATCCAGGATACGCCCCCGCATTCTAGGGCCCTTCTTCTTTTAGCTTTGCTCCCGTTGTCTATGTATGAATAATAATACTTTTCTTCTGCATGCTAAATTAAGTGATTCTTTGTTGAGAATATAAAGTAAACTCAGACTTATGTCAACAAATACATGTACATTAGAAAAAACTCTCTTTTACTTTTTCTTTCTCTCCCCTAGAAGTTCCTCCGGAGTCAAATTCAGCAGGTATTCAGGTAAATATTTGTAATAGCTTCCATCATCGGACTTTCAGGTCTTCCTGAGATTAGTCCGGTTCTGTGGTCTGATCAGAGTCTCTGCGATATGGCTCGAGGAACATCGGGAAGAATCCTCTATCCCATATACTTCTAAGACCTCCCCGGATTTCTGAAGATCCCTCAATGAAAATTTTCACCCTTGGGTCAATTGCATTCTTCAATTAGGCACACAGAGCAAGCCACTGATTCTCTGGGAACACAAGCACAGTTCTACTGACCAGCTCTGTTGCTGCCGTCTCTGGAGAGTCGCTTGTGCCAAGAGCAGGTGGGCCACAGGCAGGATGTGGTGGCTACAGAAAGTGAATGGTGGCTTCAGACACGGCAGTGCAAGGGCAGGAGTGGCTTGCAGGAAATGAAACTTTTTTGCCCACCTCTCTGTGTGCCTGAAAATTAGCTCTCTACAGGTAGCTTTTCAAAAGGCCTACTTATTCCCTAGTGTGAGTCCACAAAATTTTTCATCTTTAATCTTCCTTACAAAGTTTTCAGTGAAGAATCAAATTGCAGGTTATTTTCCCTATGTCTTTTAGGATCATATTGTCGTCTTTTGCTCCAATTCAGGTAGCTTCCGGTGTTTCCCACCTCCGTGTATGCACAACAGAGCACTTAGCCAATCTCAGTATCACAAGACAGCAGAGTTTTCACATAATACTTAAAACCCTATAACTCACACTTAATTATATTTTTGCCAGATTTTCAAAGATACTGTGTCAGTTCTATACTCGACTTAATCTTTCTTGATGAAGAGAATCATCTTCTCAACAACCTCCAAGTTCATGTAGGCCACACTACAAAACGTAACATCATATGGGTGAGAAGGGCAGGTGACGAGGCACAAGTCGAGGAACCTGTTGACATTCCTGGTGCCAAGTTGATTATTTAGCAAAACTGCACTCTTGCCTCTCTGGTGTTTCCTGTATTTGCTACCTTTTCCCTCGTAAAATTATGGTGTTAAAATTATTACCCAATGGAGTTCCAAGTAAGATGTGGTAAACACAGTTTCTCTCTCTCTCTCTCTCTCTCTCTCTCTCTCTCTCTCTCTCTCTGTCTTTCTCTCTGTGTCTCTCTGTCTCTGTGTCTCTCTGTCTCTGTCTCTCTGTCTCTCTCTGTCTGTCTCTCTGTCTGTCTCTCTCTCTGTCTCTCCCTGTCTTTCTCTGTCTCTCTCTGTCTCTCCATCTTTCTCTGTCTCTCTCTGTCTCTCTCTGTCTCTCTGTCTCTCTCTCTGTCTCTCTCTTTGTCTCTCTCTGTCTCTCTCTCTCTCTCTCTCTCTCTCTCTCTCTCTCTCTCTGACTGCATTTTAAAACACTGCCAATCTCAGTGTTAAGGGTAGCAGGAATTTGGAATGGGAAATCAAAACTCAAACTACAACCAACACGCTGAGAAATTTGTTGGGTTTTTTCCTTCCCCCATATCCTGGTTTAAGCCTAGGAAGAACTTCCATCTTGTATCTCCTGGAAGGAGTGGGTAGAATAACTAGCATAGCTTGTAAAGCAAGGCTTTGCTCCCTGATCTGAGAGAGAAGGATGCTCCTCTGGAGTAGGGCAATCCCTCTTTTATTTCATCCACCTTGACCCCACTTCTGGGAAAATTTGAGTCATGGAGCTGTGTGGCAGTAGCAGAAAGGAGAGACTGAGACTCAAAGTAAAATTCTGAAAGAAAATTCTACTCTGAATTAGGGAAAGGGCTCCTACAAGACTGAAGTACACGGGATGAACCTATTTTCTCTACTTTCTCTTGTCACTTACTTTGCCATCACAGTGGACACAGTCAAGGGACCTGTGAAACGCCCCACATGAGGAGGGGACAGCCACAGCATTATGGCCATGGCACTGGAAAAGAGGCTTCCAAGAGGGAGAGACTGAGGGAAGTTGTAGGCAGGTGATAGTTCAGGAGAGGGGATCTTGAAATACAATTTTAAAGTCTCCCTTGAGCCATGCATGCCTGGAATTCACTTAAAGTTACATAGACAAAAAGCTCTGACAGTTTGAACTATCATCTTGCTAGTGGTTTACTCTCTGCCTTTATAGGGTAATTGCTGCTCCTATATTCAAAGAAATGCCACAGGTTTACACAATAAAACCAATATCTGAGCCATCACTTCAGCACTGTCAAACACACGCAACCATGTTATTGCTCTGGACCCCACTCTGGCTAAGATTTCCATGAAAAATTGAGAATTCTACAGATTCTTTTCTTCTCTCCTTGTCATGTCATCTAATCTCAGAAAAGGATTTGTCACTTACTTCAGTAAGATGTGGAAAGAGAGAGCTGACATTTTCCATGAGTTAACATGACAGAGAATTTGGCCACCTTATAATGGTAACCAAGGTCCACTTTCCATTCATATAAAGGGCCAATTTTAGGAATATAATTCTCAAAAATTATTAGCCAGTGTCACAGAGAACAATTATTTGAGACTGAGGGTAGGAATTTCACTGATAGGACATGCTGCAATGATTCTGCTCTACCCTTTGAGTATTTCTAGGTATATATGGTCTAAAGCAAGCCCAAGTTAATGTGTCCGTTTGTCTTGGCAGTTTATCTCCATCTTTGAAGGGCCCAAGGAGGTTGCCGACAAAGGATGTCCTGCACAGAAAATCACTTCAGGTATGAAATACACTATCCTTTCAACAACTAGTGTAATACAGACCTTAACTATACCATTTTGAATTTAGAATATTTTATATTACAATCTCAGAACAGAAAGTCCTTCCCTTGTGTGTTATCAATGTGGAACACAAATAATATTCTTTTAAAGAGAAATTCACAGTTTATTATGTGGTGTGTGTCTTTCCCTTACACCACAAGGACCACAGATAGTGCAACTAACATTTGGTCCCTAGTTTCCTACCTTTTATTAAAGAAAGAAAGAACAATAAAGGAAATTTACAGGAAGTTCTTCAAGGTTTCCACACGACTGGCAAACTGAAGAGCTATGATTCATACACAGAGCTGCATGACGTCAGAGCCCAGGCTCCCTCATGGCCACCATAGCTCACAACATACACATGGCTACTTGATCAAAGCAGGCAGTGGAGGCAAGTGCAGCAGGGCAAGCAGGGGCTTGAGACTCTGGAGACAGGGATCTCCATGGAGAAGAGGGAGCTTCCATTTGGCAAGCTAGGGTCTTCCAGGTCTTCACCCCACGCTTCTAGAAAACCTGAATATGTGAGATTGGGGACAACTCCTGACTTACTACAATTAAGAAAATATGGGGAAAGTTGTGATATGTGTTTTCCTGTCCTATCAAAGCTATCCTGAAGTATCAGCAAAATGCACAAGTGTTCATCGATATCATTAGATAGAAAATAAACATTTTGTTAAGCTGATACAATAGTTGGTAAATGCTAAATAAGTAATACAAAAAAAATCCATATAGAGACACTTTGATTATCTATGCAATCCTATTTTATATGATTAAAATCACGTGACTCTAATCAGGAGAAATTGCAACATTTGAATGTATTGTTGGGTGTTGTGGTGCACGCCTGTAATCACAGCATTTGGGAGGCTGAGGCAGGAGAATTGTGAGCTTGAGATTACCCTAGGCTACAAAGTGAGCTCAAGACCAGCCTGAACTGCTTAGTGAGACTCTGTCTAAAAAAGAAAAAAAAAGTGTGAATGAATTTCTGCTTTCACTTGAACCTTCTGAAATAGACACCCTCCGTGTATAGAGTTGAAATCTACTCTCCCACTTAGCTTACAAAGCATTTTCGGGAAGTTTTTGGCAGAAAAAGAGATAGACTTTGCACATCTGACTAAAGACCCCTCGAGGTAAAGTAGTCGTACTGGTACCACAAGGGTCAGAAAGCACGCACTGTGTTCCCAGTGTGGCCAGTTTTCACGCCTGTGACGTAGGTCACATATGTGGTCTTGCCAAGTTTAAACACCCAAAGTCAAAGATGTCCTTTTGCCTGTTTGCTTCATAAGAGTGTTACAAACATAAAGGGAAAGTAGTCTTTGTGTATGTTCTTTGGATATCACGCACTATTTTCTAAATGTCAAGTTTTGAATTATATGTATTATCAGTACCCTACTACAACTATCATAATCTAAAATGTTTAGTAAACATCTGTATTACTTTTTTTGTCCACAGAAGCTCCCAAATCCAGTACTTCCAAACAAGGACCTAAACTTCTGGCAAGAGTATCTTCGACTCTGTCAAAGGTGTTTTCCCGATCTCACAGCAATGTTCCCAAATCTTCCTCACCCCCCTCACCAGAATGACCACTGACATATAAATATACTTCCTTACCTTAGACAATAAACTAATTTTTAAAGCATAGCTGTGTATCTGATAATTCTTAAAATGCTGAGCATAAAAGCCAAAAGAAATATGAGAGATCTAGGTTAAAAAAGCTTTAATAAATGCTTATTTTTACATTAAATGTATTTTAATTGGTACATAAAAACATTAAAATTTACACCTTAATTGAGTAAAGTGAAGTTTCTGTACATGTATCCATTGCATAGTGTTTAACCTAGGTTCAACATATCTTCTTAAATTACCATTTCTTTGTGATTAACTTTCAAAGTCTTTTGACACATACAGTGCATATACATTATATGCATATATATATATATATATATATATATATATATATATATATCTTACTGTACCCTGCCATATGATTCATATAGTGTTTTGGATAAACATTTTGGTATAGAATGCTGAATATTATGTTTGTATGTGCCATGAGAGTAGATGGCTCTGATTATAATTAGTAAACTAGGCAATCCACAGTACCTACCAGAGAATCAATATGGATTTCTCCTGTCAGATTTTTAGAGGTCATAACCAATAAGATGGTTAGAAAATTGAGATTAAAATCAAGATAAATCATATGCCAGAATTATGATATAGATTGCCCCACTTTTTAAGTCATATTCAAATGTACAAATAAAAGTATTTATGCTAAGATAAATCAGCTTTTCTTACCTACAGTTACAGTTTCATTGGTTTATAAAATACCTCCAAGATAAATAGATTCAAGTATGTGTAGATATGTACTTCATCCTAAAGTAAATAATAACTATGGATAAAAAGTCATATTCCATATAATGTCCCTTGTGACTAAACTAACTTCCTTTCATATACATATTATCTTATAGTTAAAATGTAAATAAAGTGTCAATAAACTAATCACATCCTTTATGCAACATATTTTGCATAAATATAGACACTGACCCTGAATTCTTAGGTAAATAGAGTAATAATATTTGTAAGATGGCTAAGCAATGTGGTGAAAAAATTTTCAAAATCAATTAATCTGCTACTTTATCAAATGGTTCCGGCTTCAACATGTTTGTCTCTGAAATCTAATGACACTACGATAAAGATCAAAATGATGCAGTGAAGAGCCAAAAAAGATAACTTGGTATCATATCATCTACCTAAAGGCTTACTCATCATTTTAAAAGTGTCTGATGTATTCTTTCATCTAAGATTTTCTTGAGAGTTGTTACAAATAAGGCAGAAATATCTGAGAAATTTTTGTTTTGTAAAATGAGGTCCCCCTTAAAGAGTTTTGCATGTAATTATGACAATAAGGTCAAGAAAATCATAGTGACCATATAATCAAAATTGTATATGTAAAATTATTCAACTGGTGACTTAATTGGCTTATAAGAATATCTTAAATATCCTACAACATAGTATAACCTATAAACACAGTAGTTTTCAGCAACCATCATTGACAAGACATAGCTGGAACTCCATTTCTGAACTATTTTTACGAGCTCTAATTCTATCAGTGTGCGGTAGTTGACAGTGTTATGGAAAATGTCCTTACATCTGTCACCCAAACCATTAATGGCTCCCAGACAGAGGTTTCAGGTGCTCATAAAAGCTGTCTTTCTACATAATGGAAGGTTTCATATAAAAATTTAAAGTACTGTGGTTCACATATTTCTGCATTGAAAGATTTGATATATAAAAGTAATATACTCTGATATGAGGACTTTCAGTGGTGAAAAAGATTCTCAGTTTTCTCCAACTCAAGTAGAGCAAGAATTACGTTCAGAATTAGTTCATGAAGCCGTCAAGCTTTCAGAAAGCAATAGTTAGCATGGTGAACTCAATCCAGAAATGGTTCTTTACCAAAAAAATAAAATAAAATAAAATAAAAGTGTTGAAAGAACTCTACAGGATAAAATACTGTCCTTGTTTTGCATTACATTAGCTATGGGAAAAGCTTAAAGTATTAAAAATTATGCTTAGAAGGCATAATACTGGACAAAATAAATCATAGTTGAAATTTCCATGATTTCAGCTTTGATTCAGAAATAAGATATTTGCACACCACTAAGATGACTTCTGAGTTTGTTAATTCTCCTTATTTTTAGACTTCATTGGTACATCATATATATATATATATATATATATATATATATATATATATATAAAATGACCACATTCATCATAGGAAATTTGTACTGCACATAATATATCATGCTTCTCCCTTTTTTCTCATTCCCTTCCCTCCAACCATTCTTCAACTATTTATTTACAAAGCTAAATTTCCATTTTTCTCTTGTTTATAATTTTTGCCTTCCTTCCCCCTCCCCCCTCCCTAGGTCCTCTTTCCTTTAAAATATTTTCTTTCCATTTCCCAATATATATTTGGGTTCTTATTTGCACTTTTGGTTTTTCACACCAGAGAAATAATGTAGCTTTTAAATGTGTGTTAAATTTATTGTAGTTAAGAATATGATCTCAAGGTGTAACCATTTAGTTAAAAGTGTCTCAAGCTAAAGCCTCGTCGTGGCATTAGTCGTTCTAGGGATGAAGTAGAAGAAATGGAAAATATATATATTTTTAATTTTTATTTGACTTTTATTTTATTGTGCTCAAAAAGAAATTTTTCAAAAAGAAAAGGGAACTGGAAAGGAAAAGAATAGGGAGAATGGGAAAATTAAATAAGAAAAAGAAAGATACAAGGGAAACAAAGCTTCTGTAAATGAAGGGAAATGTTGCTAAAAGGAGAAAAGAGGGATGGGAAAAAGCAGAATGAAGATACATCATGTACAGGTACAAATTCTCTACAATGAATTTGACCATTATGTATATCTAAATGGTATCAGCAAACTTAATAGTAACAAAAGTGATACAATTAAAATATAAATGTGATTCTGTAATAAAATAAAAACCTAAAGCACAGTATAAAAGACTGCAACAATATTATAGGAAAGATGCTAGAAGCCAGATATCAAGACATTTAAGGAAACATTTGTCAATGTGCACATAGCAGTGTGAAAGTCATTAGGGGAACCACATTAATTGTGTGAGCTCTGAGTATTAATAGTTTTTAAAATAAAATATTTTAAGCTAAATTTTGGAAAAAGTCATTATTAACTTCTATGAATTTTGACAGTTAACTATTTCTCTTATATTTCATGGTCAAATTTTCAGACATTAATAACCACAGAAAATTTAGTACTAGAAGAAATAATAGTAAGTTTTGTGGCAGTATAAAAGGATCATGTATCAGTGCCTCCCCTTCAGCCACATTTGTCTTAGTACAAGTGTGTTTGGATAGGTGAGCTTTGAAATAATAATTAGATGAGTAATGTTCTAAGCATCACAGAACTGCTTTGCTTCCTAAACACTAGGATACGCACATGATGTGGGATAATGTTCTTACTGCTCCATATTTACACTCAGCATTGTATAAATACAGTATCTCAAGAGAAATAAATGTCAAAACAAAACAATTTCTAATTCTTTTATGAGTATTTGTTGAACAATATAGACACACTTAACCACATAATTACATTTCAAACTAATTTGTGCAGTGTAAATATTATTTAGGCTTCTGTTAGGCCTTTGCAATAAGGTGGGAGCCCATATTTAATTATTAGTAAATCATATTAAATAACAGGATACTGCTCTGATGTTTAATAGAGCACAATAATCAATGCATTTAGTCTATTGGCACGAAGTAGTTAAATTTCCCTTACATTTTGCTAGAAGATTATTAGTACTTAAATGAAATAGTTATGCTATTATTAATTTGCTATTATACTTCACATAATAGCAAAAGGACAATGTCAATTATTTAACTTCAATTTTAATAATTTTACAAGTACAAATCAATTCTCAAGACAATCTTCTAATGAATTCTTAGTAAACAAGCAAACTGAATTCCTTTGTCAAGTTAGGTCTAATCAGATATGAGATATTTCAATACAATCTTCTCTTTCAATTATTGAAAGCAAATATTACAAGAGATAAGAACCAAATGACTAAAAAAAAAAAAAAAAGAACCAAATGACTACAGAATAAGACCTGCTACTGTTAGTGTATAATAGCTGTTAAAATTTTATGTTGCCTTAAAAAGCCAATGTTGATTAAAACAAGTGACAGTCGTTCTATATGGGACTAGAAAAAAATCAATGACGTATAAAGTACAGATGCAAGTGAAACACATTACATAGAACACTTGCAAAACCAGTGTGTGACACTTAAACATTAAGAGGCATGTAAAGATGTTAAGAAAGATTTGAAGCTTTTCTGAATATTTTGTCATCAAAAAAGAAAATGACTTTAGCAGATGATAGCACAAGAGTGTGAGTTAACTTTTTCTGCTCTGCTAAAGCTTGACAAAATAGCCAGAAAAAAAATGCTAATAGAATACAAACATGTGTGGAAAGCAAACAATGGTGACAGTTTCATAATTCTAACAAAAGGAAGAAGTGGTTTTTAAAATGATCAACTTGTAATTCCAAGCTTTCAAATAGTTTTACACTTTTTTTTTTGTTCCACAAAACCTTATGAATGTACCACTAGAATAAAGTCAAAAACCACTGGGTAGAAGAAAACACACCTCTGCCATTCACTATATTGTTTGTGAATACAGTGAGAAAAATTGAAATGAAAAGAATCCAAACATAAAACCAATGACTTTATTTTAGAAGCATAACTTCTTCTATCTGGCAACAGCAATTATAGTACTATTCAACACTTCTGCACAGAAAAGAAAAATTAAAAAGATTTCCCTTTATTTGGAATGAAATTTACCCCAATATGGTTTAGTAACAGCTAAGTATTTAGTACAGTCAGCACATGTTGAAGCAATTGATTACTCATTTATATATTAAAAAATACCTCAAAATGTATACTAAAGTGTATCCCATGTTATCAGTGTGCTTAACCTTCACACCTCACATAATAACTGCTCAAAATCAATGTACATGCTAAAGCTAAAGCTATAAAATTTCTGAAAAATAGTACTTAAATTCTATACCATCTAAGTATTTTTGTTGAGAGTAATATGTAAAATAT